CCAGAGAGTAAACCCCCAGACCAAGATTCTGTTTCAACCAACCAGTTGAGCATTCTGTGATTCTTTATAGGCAATTGGTTGGATGAAAAACAAAATCTTGGTCTGGATTTTTGCTTTCTGGACCTGAATTATCCACCTCTGTACATCCCCATGAGAGCCAAAGGGGGAGGAGCAGCCCCCTTGAGTCCAGTTACTCCTCAGTTTTATTCCACTCTGTGAGTTTTTCCAAGCCATTGTCACCTCAGTCTTAATCCTTTGGAGCCCCTGGGGTCCTGCAGAGTGCAGTGTGATGGTGCACCTTGTTATAAGCTCCATATAAACAAAACTAAACTCCATTTAACTGAATTAAAGTCAGACCACAAACTATTACCATTAAAGTATTAACAAAGTTTAATATCATGCTTAGATGGTATTTGATGATGCATTTCTAATATTGACTTGCCTTGGTATTGGATCATTCATTTGTTGTTCTTTTAATACTGTGGCATTTTTTAGTTTTTACTCTCATGTACTTATAAATATGGTATAAATATATATAGTAAATTACTATATTCTTTTTGTTTCTGATCTCCTGACTGAACAAGATTTATAATACTGTAGCACTGGAAGGGGGAAATATTTATTTTGAAGAGTCATCTTGTTTGTTTGAAAAAAGCTTTTACTGTCGGGCCATTCATATGTTGAATGAAAACTCCGATAGATAACGAGTCATGTTACCCACTTTGCTTCATCCCACACTGTCACTGCACACCTTTACTACCTTCCAATATACTACTCTTGTTTCTTTGTATTGCATAACATCTCCGATTAAAAGGTTTATTTAAAGTACCCTTAAATTATGGCTTGAACTGCATGCCATCACTTTTAATTTGTGATCTGAGCATTTTGGATAAGAAATGTAATTAATTATTAGGAAGTTTCTAATTTCATCTCAAGGTAGTATTTCTAGGGCAAGCTGTAAATGGAGTGGTCTACATCCAAACCTGGTGGCGAATGATAGGTGGACATCGCTCGTAAATGGAGTGGTCTACATCCAAACCTGGTGGTGAATGATAGGTGGACATCGCTCGTAAATGGAGTGGTCTANCCTGGTGGTGAATGATAGGTGGACATCGCTCGTAAATGGAGTGGTCTACATCCAAACCTGGTGGTGAATGATAGGTGGACATCGCTCGTAAATGGTGGATATCTCTAGTAAATTGAGAGGAATTCAATCTGGGAATATTTATTATGAAAGTATATCGTGTGGCGACACATGACATCTGAGTTACGTGAAAAAGGAAGATGGGACCACTTACCATTTTGTAGAATATCAGAATAAGTCATATTAATGAAAATATTACTCTTAAGCTGCTCTTCTAGAGAAATGTCATATTCATAAAGTCAAAGTGATGACATCTACTCCTGATTTTATATTGATTTGTTTTGGTATCACATACCTGTTTGTCTTTGTGGAAACAATGTCAATGCCTTTGAATAGTAAAGCCTACAAAACGTATACAATAATGAAAACCACTGTCGACAAACTTTCTTCACAATTAAAGCTGCTTAATATAACGGCCACATGTGATCACTGGCCACGTTACTTTGCTATTCTTTTAAATAAAAAACAACCTTAAAAAACTGGTGACCCAAAAATAGCTGTGCTGAAAACATTGCAAATGAGGCGTGATTTTATATTTTAGTAACATTATTTTTCTATTTGCCTGTGTATGACAAAATCTGGATGTTTAACAAAGCGTTATAACAGGGTGGACTGTGCTTACATACGTGTATGAAAATGATCATAATTTTGATCATGTTTATCATTATGCTTGTGATGAGGATAATGGGAAAAATGTTAGCAGTGCTGATGATGATATTTGTTAGTGAGTGTTTGCACTTCTACACATTCATGCTTCTGTATTTATGAAGTATTAATATAACTTCCTTGAGGCTGGGAACCAGCCAACACTTGATAAATGCAAGTTTTTGACCATGAAAGCAGAATGTCAGTCTATGATGCATCAGATCCTTGACTAATTCCTTCAAAATTGCGCAGGGCCCTCTACACTGGCAGGCCGAATACAGCCCCAGATATGCTGAGATCAGCCAAGCCCCGCCTACACCAGTGAGTGTTATCAGAGCCAGGCACATGACATACATACGCAGCCTTAGGCACAGAGATACACAGACACAGCCATACACAGCAGGACACACTCAGAGGGTTGCCAGATTAGGAGCCTCTCATGCTTCTATTCAGTGGATGGTAAAGCAACGAGTTGAATTTGATCCCTCTCTCATAATTTTCCTGGCCACCACACTTGTTAAGTGACTCTTATCCTCCAAGGCAACTATGACAGACAACGTGAGGGAGGGACGTTACACGGGGGACGAGGATGAAAGCCCCAGCTGGATGCAGGCCTTGGGTGGGGCACATTTCCCAGGAGACTCACCCCTCTCTTATCTTGGTTCCTGTTATGGGAAATACCAACTGGCAGACTATTGTAATCGTTTTATGAGCCTGATGCTATCTCAGGTAATCATGACATTAATATGTGATGGAAGAGAACTGCATTGTGAGCGGTCCAACAAATTTATTGACATGACAAGAATACATGGTGTAATGTTTAGCTACTGTACTCACATTATCTATTATATCTACTGATATGAATATCATTGAATTCAGCTGATTGAATTTGACTATAACAAGTTGTCAAAGGTTATCACGGTCAGTTAGAATAACAATGGTGAGTTATTTCAAGATTAGTATGATGAGTCCCTCAACTAACAATGAGTTCTTCTGTAATTACGATGGATTATTACAGTTGTAAAATAAATTACAGGAAAACGAAGGTTGACCTGGGCAGTAATTAACCAGATGTGTGATGTTCCAGAACGAAAAGTTAATGTCCCATACAATGACAATATTTGAGAACTATTATTGGTAAAAGTGCCACCCAGGTCAAGTCAATGATTGACACCAATGTCAGCAAAGGCTAAACTATCAACAAATAACTGTCGCTGACCATAGACTGAGACTGTGCACTTCCAGCACAGAAGGTCACTGTTACCAAGTGCATCAACTAAAATAGCAACAGCCTTGATAACGCCCTTAATGGATAAATACTGAATGAGTTCTGAACCTGTAAATACCTACAGTGGGGTAGCCTCACTTTCAGCCATAAGGTCGCATCTCCAAAATGACTTAGAGAAAGTGCCAACATTCCCCATGTAGCCAGTATAGCCATACATGTAGATCCACTACTGGGTCATAATAAGCTGGAAACACATCAAAACAGGGTTCCCCAGTCCTGGTCCTGAGGGGCAGAATCCAGTAAGTTAGATCACCCTGCTCAGCACACACCATAAGCAGCTAATTGCCAGGTTTAGTAGATGTGTGTGAACAGTGAAGTTTGCAAACGGTGTTGGATTCTCTCCCTGCATTAAACACATTATGGGCAACTTAGAGGCATTAATTAAGCTGACAGTCTATGGACTAAAACCAGAAAACCAGCAGGAAATCCACAGGAACACGGGAGGAACATACAAGCTTCATAAACACAGAGCTAAGAGTGGGAATCGATCCCGTCCAGATTTCTGATGCCGGCCGCAGATTAGACTGGAGGCAGCCGTTATAGCTGAACTGGAGGCACTGGCATTGAGCCATGCCAGACGGGCGTGATGGAGCGTACATTCCCACATTGTTCTCCTGTTATCCATGCTTTGTTCCAGTACTGGCACCAATCTCGATGGCTGCATCTGGTCTGGTCTGTATAAGTGAGGCTGGGATTTAGTCCAGCCAGCACGGCTGTGGACAGGCCAGTCACCTGCCGGAGAGGGCAGTGGGACCAACAATAAACAACTGCCGCTATTTGATAAATCCTTTATTTGCCATTTACACACTGGAGTTCTTCTTGTCTTTAGCTGCCCCCCTCTAGCTCTCCATAGCTTGGGGGTCACAGCGGAGGGTCAGCCAACGGGCAGCTTGTCTGGAGCTGGGGGTTAGGGGTCTTCTTCAAGGGCCCATAGACGTGAGAACATTCTGCTGAGGTCAGGGCTTGAACCAGCAACCTTCTGATCATGGGCACAGAGAGTTAGCCCCCCCGAGCCACTCATCGCCCCCATTTATGGTAAAGAAAAAACAGTAAAATATGATCTTGATCTATTTGAGTTATTTAGAGAAACCTTTAAGTATAATATATACAGATGGGTATTTATTTCAAATGATTGAGGTTAAGCACCTTGTTGAAGCCCTCCTTCGGACAGGAGTCGTGTTGGGTTATAAGTCCACTGATACTTCTTTACTAAAAAATTTACAGTATCTATCCTTCATGTTTAACAACGTGGAAACTGAATAATTTCCCTTAAATATCAGATTACATGCAATAAATCAGTTACGGCTAAGTGGAGTATTTTTTTGTATGGTTAAATTTACCTATGCCTCAAAACAGGTTTTTCTACTAATCCAGTTAAGTTGAACGGGTTTTTCTGTTCGTGACCTATTACCTACAAAAACCACAAGAAGTTAAAAGACCATTAAAAGTCCTTAAAGCATGACCATGGAATATAGCCTTAATCTTGTGTTTAAGGAGAAATCTGTTAAAACCAGAGGCACAGTCAGCGGAACCAGCTATTTGATTAGTCACGGAGGAACCTACGTGACCCATGTGAGGCTCTTACCAGAACCGTCATCACGTTACTGCATGCCAGTGCAGTTGTGTACCACGCTATTTTGACGCTATTTTCACGCTGTATATCAGCCTCTGAGCACGCACCGCCTGCGTTTCTATTGGCTAGAGTTTCACACACCTTTGGCGGTGATTGGTTGCGAGATTAACCCTGCCTCCTCCGAGCCTGTCTGAATGAATCTGGAAAAAGTCGCGGAGAAACATGTCCCGTTGCATTCTGCCAAAGAAAGACGGGAAAACTGGAGCTACATAGTGGGCAGCTACTGATCGTTAGGCCTTCCATCTGATCCTGTAACTTTCACGTAAGTCATACTTAATGTCACATCTACGAAATCAGGATGTTTCGCATTGTTGTTCGAAATTATTTCATTTATAGTGATATGTGTATTTCGTTACAGTTATAACAAGTAACAGGCGCAGAAATGTCAAACAAAAATACAAATTCGCAACTAAACCACATATTTTGTTGTTTATAGAAGTAAATTAGTCTTTTAAAGAGCTGCATTTTGATTTGCCATTTAGTATTGTGTTACTGTAGCGAATATTGGCGTAAATTGATTTATGGCAGCGTTTAACCTGCAATCAATATTATTTATTTCCGCGCCGATGAAAGGCACAATATGCCGCTTGACCACTCCCTGTGTTGTGTCGTGCACCCAACAGCCGCAGTTTTTCAGAAAGTAGGGGAAAGGTTACAGAACTGCGGCTCCCCGGGTTCACGTCCCAAAACGCTGATGAGAGCAGGCCGATCACGCCTTCTTCACATGGTCATATGCTTGTTGGCTGACCAATAGCAGATGAGCAAAGCAAGCCCTGGCACCAAACGTCGTGGCAAATTTTGGATCGAGGGGGGGCGTGTCAGGGAGTTACGGGAGGTTCCACCTATATCAAATAATAACTGCGCGGCCAGAGCATATTTTATAGAGAAAACCTAATAGTTTTTGCCAAAGGACTGCATGCACACCGATACTAATACATTGATATATAAACTTGATTTCCTTGAGCAGTCGTGTTTGTGGAAGTTAATTTAACTTTAATTCCAAAATGCATTTCCCAAGGAAACGGCACCCCCTAAGCTCCGGAACTTCATTAGGTCAGCAATAAACAGGACAGATTTTCAGGCGAAAGTTCACTGGGCTGTTACTCTGACCAGGCTAGTACTAGCAATACAGATATCTGTGCGGAGATTACCATGAATTTAATAGATACAGTTTAATAGGCATCCTTTTTTACAAAGAAGGTAGAAATTATATTTACATTTTATTTATTTGATGGATGCTTTCATCCAAAGCGACGCATTTGAGAAAGCAGAGTCAGCCAGTCCCTGATTGTTAAGGACCTTCCTCAAGGGCTCCACTGGCCTTTTAATCTTTGGGGCCACACACTGGGTGTCAAATATTGTTTGATTTATTTGAAGTACTAATAGGGGCACTGCTGTTGGACCAATGAGCAGCTGGCAGACAGAAAAAAACAATGATGTCTTTACCATATGTGGCCAGGAGAGGGAGCCAATGGATTCAGATGCCTGTCTCCCGAACGACTCTCCACGAGCGAAGGACATCGAGGCAGTGGAGGCCCTGATGGCCATGAGCAGCTGCTGGAAAGCTGGGAGATTTGGCCATGCAGATCCCCGTCCCCTGACGCCTCACTCTGACATCTTTGAGGAAGGGCTTCCTCTGCCGGCCCCTGTCGAGTTCCAGGGGTCTCCTCTGGTGAGAGCCTGGGCGCAGCCAATCCAAGCTGACGTCTCGTTTGTCGTGGAGACCAGATCTAAATGATTCGATGCTTTGTCCTTGTTTGTCGCTCTTTCGCAGTGTATGACTCCACCCTACAGCCCGCTGAACTCTGAGCTTCCACATACCCTTTCGGCATCCTTTCCGGAGCCGGTTCGGACCCCTTCCTGCCAGAGCAGGCCGCAGACAGAGGGCGGCCCTTGTGATCCCGTGGGGTGTCATAGGTCACACGCCACCAGCGTGATCCGCCACACTGCAGACTTGCTGCCTTGCACCTGCAACAGCTGTCCTGCAGAGAAGAAAAAGAATGTGTGTGGATCATTGCAGCCTGATGGCGGCACTCCTGAGAGAAGTTCATCAAGCCAGCCGGAAGACAGAGGCGCTGGAGCATGCCCAGCTGCGTCTACAGCACATCATTCTGGGCTGGCCCCCTCAAATGGCCCGGTCTTCTTGAATTTGTCATCGTCTGTTGGACTGCTACAACACCCTGTGTCCAGTGGCCCTGTGAACATAGCTTCCATGCCGGTCCTCTGTCAAGTGCTTCCTGTATCACGCACAACTCCGCCTGTTGTTTCTGCACATGGCCAGCAGGGGGCGGTATGCCCACCGGTGGTCCTCATGAGTGGAGAGGTTTCCAAGGGTTCGGTTATGTTCCTCGTCCCCCAGCCAGTGCTCCCCAGACAGTCTGCACTGGTAACCCCTGGAAAGCCTAAGCTGGCTGCCATTGCCCCCGCACCGGGCGTCCCCTCCTTGGTCCAAAGGAACAGCCCGCGGCCCAGCGTTTCCAGGATACGGAGCCACATCTGTACCCACCCGGGCTGTGGGAAGACCTACTTCAAGAGCTCCCACCTCAAGGCCCACAGGAGGACTCACACAGGTGAGAACCTGCTGTTCCTCTCACATCAAGTACCCAACCTAAAATCCATATATCTCAAATGTCTAAGGTCTATTGCTGTTCTATTTTAGTCTGTGTTCAGGGTGTGTGATCTGCGTAAATCTTCAGATAATGTAAATTATCTTTGGGTGTACAGTCTTCACCCTAACGACATCACTTCATGGGTGCCATGAAGATGGGTGTAAATCACATGGGTGCTATTCCATTATCGTCAAAGTTTTGCTTACGCTCAATTTACAGCGGTAGTGATATCTGATAATTCAAACATGGATTATATAAATCACTTTATCAGTGAGGAGGAAGCAGCAGGTCCTAACCACTAAATTCCAGCTTGTGTCTCTGTCGCCCCCTGCAGGCGAGAAGCCTTTCTGCTGCAACTGGGAGGGCTGCGAGCGGCACTTCGCCCGATCCGACGAGCTGTCCCGGCACCGCCGCACACACACTGGCGAGAAACGCTTTGCCTGCCCCGTGTGCCACAGCCGCTTCATGCGCAGCGACCACCTGGCCAAACACGCCCGGCGCCACCTGGCGACCAAACGGATGCCCACCTGGCAGGTGCAGCTCCGGAGCCTCAGCAGCCTGGCGGCTGCCTGCCCTCAGCACCTGCCGTCCGGCCCCGAGGGCATGCTGGCATGTTAGTGCATTGGCTAAGGAGCCAGACTCGTGACCAAGCACCTTTCGGTCTGATTGATGGCTCTCCTTGGTGTAAGTCTTGAGCAATGGCTTAACTTAGACTCCCTGTTTGAAACTCTACAGCGTCTCTAAAGAAAGAAGTTAAATGATAATGGCAATTACACGATTGTATGTTGCTTATTTGCTGAGATCACCTAACATGAGATTTTGCACAATGGCTAAATTGCACTCAGAAATCCTGAAAGTGTAGGTGTCTGATTAAGTTTAAGGAAAGCCGAATTATGGTTTTTTTTCCTTATATAATTTTTTTTACTGTCATTGTTTACACATAAAAATATGATGTTTTGGCATCACGTGATTCACAAGCTCAGGGGTTATTGCCTAAAGTCCATTGGTCGGACGTCCAATTTCCCGTACCTATCAGCGCCTGGATCGGTGCGGGCACTTTGTAGGAGCCCCGCCCCCTGTGGCACTTTGTAGGAGCCCCGCCCCCTGTGGCACTGAGACACTTGGTGGTGATGGCCGGTAGACGGTGAGATTTCAGGGGGGTGTCATTCTGTTTGAGGGAATAGGCTTAGCAACAGCGCTGAAATGTCAGGGTTTTTGTTTCTGTGGAGTTTTTTTTTTTTATTTACAAATATTTTGTATTTTTAAATTCATTATTTATTTTATAATGTTGGTCTTTGTTATAGTTGGGAGTCATTTTTTCATTCAAGCAAGTATGACCAAGGAACAGCTGGGCAATGGTATAATTCTTACAAGCAGGCCATTAAGACTCCTGTGAGTCATTTCTACTACCGTTAAGTCTTATGTTTAAATCTGTACTGGAAAAAACCTGCTGAGCTCCTGACCAAAGTAGTTTCACCATAACGTACAGTGGAATGTCATGTTAGCTTTTTTTTTGCACAATATTTGTCATTGCAAATGTTTTTTTTTTATACAAAGATGAATAAAATGTTTTGGAAAAGTCACAGGTGTAGCTTTGGTGTTTACGCCATCTTACAATGGCACGGACATCGTCAGTGTAGGTGTAGTAATGACTCCACCTCATGCGTGTTTTTTTGTACCCTTACTGGCAGACTGGTCCGTTTCCTCATAGGATTTCACCATCAACACTTAGTGCAAGGTGGAGATTGACACATACAGTAGGACCCTCAGATCTTCTATCCACAGGCCTATACGTGTCCAGTCAATTCAAAACTTTTCTGGAGCGTGCTGAATGAAACAGTAACATTCCAGTAGAGGGTTATCTGGACCTCCAGCTGGGCTCAGGACACCCCCCCCCCACAGGACGCCCCTCACTTGGAGGTGAAACACGCTCTTAGGCCAGATGTTGGTAGTGCTGTAGATCTCCAGCCTCTTCTGAAGGCCCCAGCACCTGAGCACCACAGGTTGTCACAAAAGCTTAACGTAAGTGAACCTTGGGAGTCCTTGATGGCCAATTCAGCCAAATTGGTCTCTTTATATTCCAACCAGATGAAGTGACAATGAACTTTCACAGGAATGCATGCCTGAAATATTGATCACTCGTCACCTTCCAGGAAAGCCAACAAGGTTCCCACTCCTGAAATCTACACTCCTTTCCTGTCCCTGAAGAGCAGTGAGATTCACACCACCGACGGCTGGTTGGTACCAGGCACTGGTCACAATACGGCACTTAAGGTATTTTTGCAGCTCAGAACATCATATCTATAGTATTATAGTTAGGGACTCTTCGATGACCAATTGCTGCAAATTGTCACCGAACCATATTTTTGACATTCAATTTAATAAGCACTGCTGCAAACGCAAGTCAGAAACGGAAGGTTGTTTATTTCATACAACAGAAAAGCCCTTTTTGCAGAATGTGAACGCTTTGTCATTAGGCTAACAGAAAATATGGCTGTCACAAAGGAGAATGAAAATAAGCACTGCACATTTCAGTCAAAGGTGTATTAATCACTTCCATTAAACGAACACAATGGACTGATTGACAACAGCTTACAACCATTAGCATTGTAGCTAAAGATGTACGCACTTGCAGGCTTGTCTCTTCAAGGAAAGGGTTATGAAAGAAGCGGCTCTTCAAATGACAGCGTTAATTCTGATGCGCCGGGACACGTTGCTCCTGAACACTAGCAGCGACGGGGAAGCCTGAGGTGGGGCATCAAGAATGACCTTCAACCTGAACGACTTCCAGCCAAACGAGAAGTGAACAGGAGAGATGTTTCCTTATGCTTGTATGAGCACATTTTTGTTTTGTTTTGTTTGCAGCAGAGTCGCAGGCACTCACAGCGCGAGAGGTTTACGTAGCAGTCGCCGGGCCTGGAAGCGAGGGAGCGGACAGGATCTGCGGCTAACCTGATGCCCGGGAGCGATGTGCAATGGCCGAATATAGCCACAAAAAACCCACGACCATAGACGCTACAGGGCTACTCGCATACAACCCTGTAGACCTGCTCAGTTGTTAGATAACCATAATTGAAGCACCACAAGCATACTGCTAATATTTTGGCTGGATTGATTCAGCTCCCGCTCCAAGCTCGAAATGACAAGAGTGGAGAGCAGTTCCCCCAGCCCCCGTAGGACCGTAACGACCCTCACAAACACAGCAAAGCGTGCCTGTTTCTGCAGCCGCGCGGCGCAGGAGCTCGACGCGCACGCCGCCACCGTGTCAAAACCCAAATAGATAAATAACACACCCACGTACGTATTTATTGCAATTACAACATGGCTGGATCAGGCTCCATAGCACGAATGGAACACCGTCTCTACTAAAGCTACCACTCAAAGCACAAATTTACATTTATTTTTGCATTTAAAATCACTTGAAGTCAGATCTTGGCATTTCTATAAACAACTGCTCCAGTAGGGCAGACAGCTGATGTACAAGACTGGCAAAATGTAATCTATATAGATTTATATATAGATATGAAATAAAATTAAATAAACTGAACATGTATATAAACTGCAGTTGAGTAGGAAACCCAGAGATGGGCCATCTCTACAGAGTCGTCCATTTTGTTGCATATTTTCTCTTTTTTTAACTACAGAACAGGGGGTTAGCTGTTTGGGGGGGAACCGGATACAGATACCGGTCAACTTTATGGTGATGCTGAAAAATGAATATTGTCACCACACTATGACTGGTCCCAGTAAAACCCTTCTACCATTTAATTACAAAAAAAACAAGTGTCCTACAGCAGCCGGCTCTTCTCTTGGAATGCCAACCGGACCGGCTTCGCAGAAACCCTACTCCACCCCCAACCCCATCCCCATCCCCACGACACCGACGTAGGTCTAAGCTGGGGTGGAGAAGGCGTCCTCCTGCTGGTTAAACTGGAAGGAGTACGGGCCCAGTAAGAGGCTCCTCATGGGCGTGTCCAGGCCGATTCCAGCATCCTGCATCTCATACCTAAAAAAAGGAACAGGGTTTTAAAAAAAAAACAGGTCCTCACGCCCAAAAAGTAAACCCAGCAGAAAGTTCAATCTCCACGTAACAAATACCTGCACGCACATGCTTCTGCTTACCAATCGTGCTCTGAGATGACGTGGTAGACGGGCAGGCTCTCCACACTGGCATAGGTGGCCTGCTCGCCCACGCTGTGAGCCCCCATGTTCCTGAAGAGGAGCCAGTCCCCCACACTGAGCTCGGGCAGCAGGCAGTGGTCTACTACCTGGTCCAGGGCGTCGCATGAGGGACCCCAGAGGCTGCTGGAGAACAGCGGCTCCTCCACCAGGGGGGCCTGCGGGGGACAGGGGCACCCATTTAGGGGGCGGGTCCCAAGTGCGCCCCTCCAGCTGCGACAGACGTGCACAGACGCTCACCTTGTGCACAGACGGTGCCGGGATGGCATCATCCAACAGTTTGCTGGAGAAGGACCCGTACACGCCATCGTTCATATAATACAGGAACTCCGGCTCGTCGTTTGGCGACAGGTCATCTGGAGGCAAAACACGGACAACGCACATTCACGCCTCTGAAAAAACGACACGCCGACGTATCAAAACGTGGGAGAGCGAGAGACTGACCGCAGGGCCGCCCGCACCGGTCCCTGGCCACCACTTTCTTGCCGATGACGTTGACGGCCAGGGTGAAGGAGGGCGAAACGTAGAAGGCCCCCGGCTCGGCGATGACGGAGAAGCCACACAGTGGAGAAAAGTATCTCTCTAGCTGCGGCTGAATGGTGCCGCGGATCTGAAGTAAAGAGGAGGGTCTTTAGTCCACCAAGAGACTCCCTGTGACAGAATGACTTCAGAATTAAAATCTCAAAATGCATACAGTTTCACAAAAACAACCCCCCCACCCTCCATTGAACGCATCTATACTGATGAAGGTGCTTTGGTCTAATCCTCAAGGTAAACAGAAATGACATTCAGTTTGAAATTCCGCCCATGCTACAGGCTCCGACAGCCATTGCAATAATCTACCAGCCGATTCGCAACAAAAGGAGATGAATGCATTTGAAAACACTGGGACTTTTACACATTGACAACTACAGGAGCCATGCATCAGTGATTCAACTGTCACTGACAGAATGCGGCTGGTGACCACGGTGCTTCATCTACATTTGCATTCCTGACATTTGCTAGACCGAACTGAACAGGAAATATCCAGTTACTCTATACATGTGAGCATTACTGAGAAAGATCACTTTAAAAGCATATCTAGTACAGCAATCACAATCATTTATAATAGAGCTGAATGTAAAAAAAAAAAAAAACATTGCGAACAGAAAACCATAAACAAATCATTCAGTACCTGTTCCAGCTGGTCTTCTGAGCCAGAGAAACCTCCTCCAATGTCTAGGATGTTCATGTCGAAGCCAAACTCCACCTGAAGAAACACCACCCATTAAACAGAAATCTGACACGGGAGAGGCAGTAACCTGCTAAGGATTATGGGAAGTATCCGTTTTCAACATAACGTCAGGGTGACACAGCGGTAACAACGCGAACACGTGCACGTGACCATAGGCATCACGGGTAGCGCGCCCAGGCGGACTCACCCCCATGTCGAATACGCAGCGAGCGTCCGCCACCGCGTGGGTGTACGCCTGGACATCCCGGCAGGAGCTGGGGATGTGGAACCTGACAAAATAAAGTGGGAGGAGCTTAACGGCGAGACTGCGAAGTACCGTGGAGAGGGGAAAAAAAATGCCAATAAAAAATTTAGGAGCGAGTAGCTGCAGGTCTCAGCAGCACAAGGTTAGTACATCTATGCTGAAAATGGACCAGGAGAATCTGCCCTCAAAGCTAAAGATGTGATCCTGCAAAACGGGCGGATGTTACAGTGTAGCACTATTAATGCAGAGTCTCCCCCACCTCTCTCTGACTCCGTCCCTCAATTCACAGAGCTGGACTCACTTGACTCCAACGACCTGCATGCCCAGCTCCTGAGCACATTCCAGGAGAGAGCGGCAGCCCTTCAGCGTGGCACCGAAGGTCATGCTGGTGGCCTCAACTTCACCCGGAGCCTCAGCGGCGATCTGCAGCAGCAGCCTGGCGACGGAGGCACAGGGACACATCGTCACGGCAACCGTCGCCACGCCGCGCGCAGCTCCGCCCGTCGCTCCGCCGCACAGGCCACTCACTTGGCACCGGGGTGACATCGGGCGATCTTGCGCATCTCAGTCTCGTTGTCACAGGTCAGGGTGTCGACGCCGTTCTTGGCGGCGTACTTGAGGTGGGACAGCTGCTTGCAGACACCAGAGAAGATGATGTTCTCAGGGGCCACGCCGGAGTTCTGCACGAGTACCAACTCATTCTACCAGGGGAAGAGAGCAGAAGAGGGGATGAGACTGCAGAGCCCAAAAACTGCAGGGGGGGAGGAATCCCAGAAGCCTAACTATAGATATACAGGGGACCCAAAAAACAAGCAGAAATAAGAACCTGCCCAAGAGGAAATGCCTTTTCTCCTTTCATTTTGTAAACTGCTAAATGTTGAAATCCAGATACAATTACAACAGCTCCACCTCTTCCCAGGCCGGGATAGTTTAGTCACACTTCGGATTGTAACAGAAACGCACCATCCCAGGACAAATTACTCAGCAGCGGCTAAAATAATTACAGCAGACCCATGAGCAATCATAAAAACAAAAGCGTTATTCCGTTTCAGTTCAAAGGCAGCTTTTTTGGAGAAGGAGATGTTCCATGTTGTCCTCTAGCGATTATGGTGGATATGGAAGACAGAAGAAATCTGGAGTTAAACTACTAGGGGCAGCGCGGGTGGGCATGGTCACCTTGTTGGAGCAAACGAAGCCAACGCCAAGAGCAGCCAGGACCTCGACGACAGCAGGACTGCTGTTGCACCGGACACTGTAGTAGGGCTGTATGGGAGCCATACTGGTCTGCCAACGGAAGTGCTGTCGCACGAGGACCCCAAGGTCAGCGACAAAAAATGCATTCTTTTCAGCCTGAAAGGGGGAGATCGAACACAGGGGGTCAATCAATCATTTATATAGCACTGTTTTAACCACAGGGTGTTTTACAGACATTTAAAACAATGGACTTAAAATAAGCACAGAAGAAATGTATCATTCATAATTTATCATCACCAGCAGCAGCAGAAACATGGGACTTAACCTCCCGCAATCCCAGTGGTAGACTAACCCTTACCACACTGGCCTCGACCTCAATTAATGTAACAAACACCAAGTTTACTACTGATGCCGAAACGTGTAAAGAGTTCGGCTGAACTCAAAACATTTCAATTAATGCTGCCGATACTCTAAATGCGAGACAGAGAAGAAGTGAGGAGCGCGTGAAGCGGTGAATGAGGCTGGAGCACACTTACCAGGGCCTGCTCGTAGATGTGGCTGTCGATGACATCACAGAGGGCGGTGCCCCCCTGCAGCAGTTCAATGGAGTAGTTTGGTTCGTCAGCAAATCCTTTCATCTCAACCGTATTCCGCAAATCCAACAAATCATAAAGAGTTGTATAATCGAAGCCCTGAGCCGTTGGGAGTCCTAGGTATACGCAACAAACTGTATGGGAGAAGAACGAGAGGGGAAAGTACAACTCAGCGATGGGAAATGCCATTATCAACGCACACGTTTGGCGAGCGTGCATCTGCACAATGAATACAGGAAGAATGGGCTGCACCTTGAGTAGCCGTGACGAAATGTACGGCACACAGTTAAAGATCTGTAGCCAGTCAGCGGGGACCTGGCATCGCGCTAAACACTTCCACATAAAATTGCCCTAAATCGCTGTGGTCTGATGAAGGCTCCAGTTATTTCCTGCATTCAGCCTGTCCCCCTTTTCCTCTCCCTCCTAAAACCATCGTGTAACTGGAAGACAGTGAACCTTCAAGGCGAGATTCTGCAGACAGAGTGTCGTGTACCATGGTGCCTTGATCAGAACCGGCTCAGGAAAAAGAAAAAAAAAACACAACACTTCAATAATCTCCTGCTGGAACAAAAACGTCCTTTTGGGGGTGGGGGGTGGAGTCCCGGTAGCGTGTGGCCCGCGAATGAGTCATACGCGAGGTGTCACATGACTCATCGCGGAAACTCCACCGCTGCCTGAAGACACTTCCTCCTCTCCGGGCCACTTGTTCTACATACAGTATATATATGATCCACCAGCCGAGGCCACCTGGCTGGATGGACGATACCCATGTAACGCCACAAGCCCACCGTCACTCCAGCAACCACAGCGTGCGCTTCCTGACGCAACACTGACAGGCTCCGCAGTACCGAAATGATTGCCGTCATCCACAGCCATCTCAGGCTTCAATACCACCCAGAGCAAGGCACCGTGACGTGTCACACCTGCAGGTACTGGGTGGGAAACCACCTAGCCCCGATCCACAGGATTCCTTTCACACGCTTCTGGTCCACAGCGCTTGCATGAACACCAAGAAGAAACACTCGCCGTTATTGCCCCGACCCGAGCCACCCCCCGAGAGCGGCCAATCACAGGACGGCACGCTAACCGGAGAAAGCCGAAACGCAGACGTCAACACGGCGACTGCGGAAACAAAACCCCGGGAGAAGCACAGCCTGCAGACTTTACTGCAGACCATCACGCTTAATCCCAGCACCTGTGACCCATGAAAGGGGCTTTTGCTCAGTGGCATTAGCTTAGCACAATGCAGGCTGCACCAGTGTCAGATGTCTGCTTTTGATAAGATTACACAACTGCTGGCCAGGAGAGCCACGTGACTTCACGTCAGCTCTCCAGTGCACGGTCGGCTGAGCTTCTCACGAGGGCCAGACAGAGAAAGGCCCAGCAGGGGCCCCTGAGACAGAGGCCAATGACATTCTGATCTGGAGTGAGGGTCTGACATAACCCCCTATATCCCATCCATCCACCTTCCCAAGTCACACGCAGAGGCTACATCTCTAGCTACAGGATTGATGTCACTGCCACTCTGCAGGTGGCTGGACCACCCACCCAGGCACCCACCCACCCAGGCACGCACGTAAACCCACAAAGGCTACAACGTCTGCACCCATCTCACGAACCTGCACACCAGCGTTTAGAACTAAAATTATCTACTTTTCAAATGCTGTGTCGTTTGGGGGGGGAGAGAGGAATCTAACTGTTTATGGAACTGAATTTGGAGCAGCTTGGGCAGAAGGGAATCACTGTCAAGTCATTACCAAGAACAGAGATAAAGATAGATATACTTTACTGGTCCCAAGCGGGAAATTCTGAAAGACAGTCCTAAAGGATGACTGCAGTAGGAAGAGAGAGAGAGAGAGAGAGAGAGAGAGTGAGAAAAAAAAAAGTTTCATCGGGTACGGCGGGCCCCCCTAACGGCCCAGTTTAGAGCACCAAATTACGCAATTAGCAGACGCGAGAAGGCTTAAAGATGCCAGAAACTGAGAGATGAAGGACAGTGGGAAGTGTGTCTCAGAGTCTGGTGTCCTTAGAAAAAAGATGCTGAACAATGAGACACTCAATAACAAAAACTGTGACTAAGAAGCAAGAACATAGTACATTGGACTTAACTCACATGGACAAGTCAGGAGATAGACCACTCCCACTATCAGCTAGGGTCCCAAGGCGGCTCGGCGTTGAAGTCGAATTGTTCCCTGTAGAGCGCCGCCCCTAGGCCTTCTGGGTAGTTGTACACCTGCACAGAATGGGGTGTGCCCTGTGGGAGATATGAGACACGGCCATTTCAAAAGCATGAACTGGGTATTATACACTGCTGCGAGCGTGTCTCTGTACATACACACACACACACCCACAAATAAGCTCCAAGTTTCAATGAGCTCCTTGCGCAACTTCAAAAGTATCAAACAAAGCAACACGCTTCTGAACTTGTTTTAAGTTGTAATAAAGACGTCTAGATACAAACATTACCTTAATGACAAACAGCCCAAAATCAGTAATACACACAAAAACTATTGACTTGGGACTATGATTTAACTACTATACAACAAATGTTTAATAAACAGAATTCAGTGAGACTTTAATAAACATACTTTAACCACTGCTGAGTAACTTCCCAATCTTTCACAAAGTACATCATAAAACGTTACAGCTGCGTCGTAAATGTAAGAGGCGAGATTAGGAAGTTTCCGTGCAAGTCTTACCAGTCAGTGGCGGTCTGGACAGACCTTAATAAATTACAGGGAACAGGACGAACTCTTTGGGAGGGGATGCTTACCAGTCCGTTTCCGCACAAAATTTATCGTAAAAATATGAATAAGGACACTAGATCTGCGATTTCAGAACGACATGTCAGCATGTGTGTATTAACAAGGCTTCGGCCACAAAGTAACAAGGTTCAACCGGCTAGAACCAGAAATCCTCAGAAACTACGTCGCGGTGTCGCTGTCCAAAATCGCTTCGTACGTTTACTGCACTCTTGGTGGAGGAGGGCAGCCAAGTAATGTTTAAACACTCCAATCATTAAAATAGCCAAAAACTCACTTTCGTCCATTTTAACTACCGGGCTGATTCGTCATCTTGCCCTTTATCTGTAATGAAATGCACTACATGTTGATATCGATCCCACACGCTTAGAAACTTCCAGCTCGGTGAAGCGTGTGAGCAAAATAGGGTTTTAAAAGGGTTTTGCGCAAACAAAAGTGGCCTCAGATAAACACCGAGCCGATCCGACAGCCGACGCCGCTTAAAGTACATCGTGTAACTATGCGTCCGCGGCTGCGTCACGGACTCGCATCCGCCCGCGTTTATCGAGGTCAGGCAGCGCGGACGAACAGATAACTTACGCGGATCCTGTCATCTAATAACCGCGCTACAGCAGCCGCTTTGGGCCGGTGGGGAGAGCCAACAAAACGCGCTGAGCCGGATTTGAATGGCCGAAGACGCAACTTCCCCGCCGCAAACCACCCTGCTGACGTTAACGTTCGGCGGAGAAGTGCGCCGACATGCCTGGCGGATCAGACCCACCGAGCCTTTAAAATAACGCCAAAGAGCTGGCCGACGATGCCCCTTCGGATGGATGGTGAAATAAAGCGAGCGGAGGCTCTCAAAGAGAGAAGGGGAAATGTATATATATATATATATATATATATATATATATATATATATATATATATATATATATATATATATTTATATATATTTAAAAAAAGGCATTATGGTACCGGCTCGTTTATAAAACAGCCATGATCAAAAATAATGATAAAAAATACAAAACCGATGTAAAAAGATACGAGCGATTAATACGCCCAAACACAATGGGCAACTTAATAACACCTTAATGTCGCTTTAAATTTCAAAGCCCCGGGTGCCTAACCTCTAACCGCAATCGCTTTTTGGAATAATCCCAATAAAACGTAAATTATACATTTTTGCTAATAGTCTTCTAAATTATTAGGTCTATATAAGTATAAAACGACCCACGGTTATACAGCTAATAATGAAGACGTAGACATGTGGCGGAGAGGCGCCGCGTCCGATGCAGGAAAGCAGGCGGCTGCGTGAAAGACGAGCCATCGCCATATTGTAGCGAGTGCGCGTCTCTCCCGGCTGCAGCGCGGCGAGCGAGAATGAAATAAACCAGCCGGGGGGCTACTTACGTGAGGTAACGGCCAAATTTTTTGGGTAAATCGTCTTCTCTTTTTCGGCGGAATTTTTAAAGAGTAATGGGGGTACCAATAGGAGAAAGGAAAAAGGCCAAATTTGCCATAAGCCTTGACTGAGGAGGTGCTTTGAATAGCGTGCTGCCGCTTCCCGTCTCTGTGTATCGAGCTGGAGGGGGAGGCGTCCGGATGGGGCGGTATATGTACCGGGATACAACGTCCTTCGTTACAGCCGTCACACGGGACGGGACGGCACCGATCGGGGCGGAGATTGTGGGCTAAGCTCAGTATTTGTCAATTTCCAAAAAGTGACCCTGAATAAATTCGCATTTCCACAAAGTAGCTCGTAAGCTATGGGTGCTGTAGCTTCGCAGGCTAAGTAGGACAACGAACATTTAAAATACCCGTTCATGTATTTTTGGTTAAGTATTAAATTGACTGTCAGCAATACGCCAACTGAGTTTTTAAAACGTTCTAAGGGAAATAATCACGCCAGAGCATGGAGAATAAGATGTAACATGTAACATAAACGTACATTAAAACGAAAGATAATACTAAAACTCTCCTCTATATAGGCCTATATGTAACTTTCAAAGTTCACTGAAGATTCAAAGAAGGCGCAATCCAATTACCTACCTTTTGGTGTCTACTTTCACCATGCTGCCAAAATAAGCATTATAGGCTTCGAGGTCGCGGTGATTGCATTTTATTCGGCTTTATTCGAAAAGTCGAACGATATCCTTCACATTCTACTGTCCCAAATGACAGCAGTGAGCTGCCTTTACTCCATAAACCTGAAGATGCTCATCCTGGGTTTCATCGTGGAAGTCGCGAAGAGTTTGACTCAAGTTCAGTTTACATCCACTCAGTCCATTGGCTGAGAGTCGCCTGTAGCGCATACTCGCAAACACTCGGGCTTCCTAATGAAGGACGAGAAGGGTTCTGGTTTCATTGAACTGGCCCGGGTCCATGAGTTCCATTTATGCAGTCAAACAGCCGCTTGGAGACTGAGCATCCCCACAGAGCACGAAGAACGTCTAAAACTGCAGCCCGTCATTAATTCACACGTTTCAGCCAAAATTTGTGGCCAGATATCGGGCTGTAATGGAACTTGCTGGTTCAAAAACCGGTTTCAGTAAAATACATAGGGGACGTCTATCAAGAGATGCTATTATTTTGCTGCTCAGTTAGTATTAAATTTGCCCATCCATCCATCCATTTTCTGTAACCACTTATCCTGTTCAGGGTCGGGGGGGGTCCGGAGCCTATCCCGGAATCTATGGGGGCAAGGCAGAGAACAACCCAGGATGGGTTAAACTTGCCGTTTATTTCAAACCTCAAAATGCTGACCCTGTAATGTACTACCAGACATTATAATAAAGTGATTATTGATTGCAATCTCTATTTGTAAAGCATGCTAAATGTTTGAATGCAGGAATGTCTCGGTGAACAGTTTACCCCATTGTCTTAAATACACATTGCCTGTTTAGCCTATTTTTGCATTGTTCTGCGGGAAATATTTCAGGAGAAATTGCTGAAGGAGTGAGGTCACCCTGTTATGTAAATTCCTGACAGTCACAGAACACAATAAAGGGTGGAGGGGATGTAATATTTAATTAATATATATATTTTCTGTCTCTGATATGGAAAATAACTGTGACACTGTACTGGGTAAGCAGTTATGGAAGATGGATGGATTATAGGGCAAATTGTGTTTCATTGTCTGTAACACATTAAACCCATGCCTGGCCAAAGTTTGGAGCACTGCAGCAGATTGTTGATTAATGGATATGTTGCATTTCAACGTTGCACAAAGCTTTGTACTGCTGCTGTGTTGCGGGCCGCTGGGCTGGACGTGAGTGTGGGTCTGGTGAGAGGTGTGATGCATCAGGGGCTTCAGTTCAAATGTTCCTAATAGGTCAGGAAGAGTTTAACTGTGAGTGGGCTAAAGGTCTTCCTCCACGCACCCCCATCTGCCCCCCCCCCCCCACTTTTCACACCAGCTCCTCATGCATCCAGATCGTCACACCTGAGATATCCTCACCCAACCATTTTCCAGATGACTGCATCGGGTTTGCGGATTCACGTGTAAACATCATGGCACTCATGTTTAACCATTTAATACAACGTGCCTAGAAGCAAATGCCACCTTCAGAATAAAAATAAAAATAAAAAATAAGTAACAGTTGAAGCTGTCATGTTTAACGCATTATAGATACCTTCATAATGCAGTACAATGGTTGGTATAAGAATTAATCAAGCATTACAGTATCCTCTATTGACAGTCATAAGGCATTATAGTGTTCATTATAATACTTCATAAGCACCAATGAAGCTCTCATCTATAATGCACTATAGATACTTTCATAATGCATTATAATGGTTGGTATAAGAATTAATAAAGCATTATAGCATCTTCTATGGACAGTCATAAGTCATTATAGTGTTGATTATAATACTTCATACAATGAAGCTCTCACTATAGGTACTATATAGATATAGATCATAATGCATTATAATGGTAGGTATAAGCATTAAGGATGCTTTATAACTGCATTATAAAGGTATCTAGAGTGCATTATAGATGAGATCTTCATAAAGCATTCATAATGCATAATGAACATGGCTATAATGTGTTATGCCTTTTTATACATTTTTATAGCCATGTTTATAATGCTTTATTAATGCATTAATATATGTTATGAATGTGTTCATAGATTCTTATAGACGTGGCATACATAGAAAGTTTTACCAAAATATCCTCCGTAATTTTGGAAGAATGTTTCTTGTCGTTAAGACTTATATTTGTATTACCCTCTTCTTTGTGACATAAGCTGTTTCCATGTTAAATACGCTGCAAATGTATCATGTCGGTTTGCCTGCAGGCTGTGTGTGCTGTCAACCTTTCAGACCTGTTGCTGTTGCAATAATATCGGCAGGGGGGCTGCATGCCACTGAAATTTCCCCATTTGTTTTAACAGCAGAAGCACTGTTTTGTCTATTGTTGTGACTTGGGAGTGAAAGTTTCTCTCTTGGATCATATGAAAGCTATTCCTAGCTTTTTGTCCCCCCCCTGCCACAGCTTTGTGCCTGGCCACCCCCATGCTTAAAATGAAAGTGTGGCTGCTAATCGCACATAGAATCTGAAGTGGCTTCCAGTAATGCTTGATGGCCATTGTTTGCCTCTTATAATGGCTGTGTCCGCAGAAAGCGCCCATTGCACTGACTTGCGCCTCTTGCTACACACACACATACACACAAGCACCTGCATTGTGCACCAGGAATTCACATCAGCAAACAGGGGCCAAAACAGCGATTGTGGTTGAGCAGTGACCCACCCAATGGTGATGGGGATCCAGTGCAGGCACGGCCAACAAGATCTCTGATGCAAACAGCGAACCCTGCACCATCAGCGCATCTGGGTTTTTGGGACGTGAAAAATTATGTGAAAAATAATCCGCTGCAAAAACAGATATATGCATGTCAGAAAACAGAAAGCAAAGACCTTCACTCCAGTGCATCTGTCAGTTGTTGAGGGTAATATCCATCCATCTTCTAACTTGTGGTTGGTCTCGTGAGAGGATAATATATAATGTATTAATATGTATGGAAGATGGATAAATAGGTGGAATATATAATAAAAACAAGATGGTGAGATGTTAGCAATATCACTAGTTTTCTTGTCTCTGCAACTCCATTGAATTTGAAATAAATAATTCATTTTTCAATAGAAGTACCAGGGACAATCTAGGAGACACCTTGGATAGAATGACATGAGGCTTAGTTTAGTGTCACCTGGTTTCATGTGGAAAACAAATTGGGAATCCGGGATGGAATGTGCGAGAGAATGTGGACTGGACCACCAGATTCAAACCCACATTGAGGTCTGAGTCACTGTCATTTGAAAAGATAAAATTGTATATTACATTGCATCTGAGGTGCACTTTAATTCCAAATTTAAGGATGCTTTATTGAGGTTCATCCCAGAGAACTGTAGTTGAAGAATGAATTTAATTCCAGTAGTACCTGTTGAAGATGCACGAAACTGCTCTGGTAGTGAAGACTTCCCCTGTCTTTTAGCTGTTAAATGTCATGTGGTCGTCCACAGTGTACAGGCAACAAACCACTGGGTGATGTCAAAACAGAAGTTTCACAATGAGAAAGTGCAAAACAGGAGCTGGCTCACGGCATCCTCAATGCCCACTTACTGTATCTGCCAGTTTGTGTTTGTTTGTTTATGTGCTGGTTTGTTTGTTTATTTACAATAAGCTTCTGTTCAGTTTAATTAAGAGTTCAATTAAATGAAGATCAAATGCAACACAATTTTAATTGGATTTACAATTAGCTCTCCTATCTAGTTATGTAGAAAAGATGGAAGAAAGAAGAGATGCTGTTTGTGATGAGGCTCGTTCTGTCTTTTTACACGAGTGACGTAAATGTGGTTTGCAGACCCACTAGGCCCACAGCTCACCTCAAACGCCCTGGGGCAAAACACACCAATGGTTCACCGATCTGTACCCACACCTAACCTGGATGGCCACGTGAGCCACCTCCGGCCTGCCGCCCAGCAGGGACACTGCAGAAAGTCTACTGCAATCCCACTGTGTTCCATTATGGTTGAGTATGTAAATGAGCACAGTCGCTGGTTTGACATGCAGCTTCTGTCGCTGCTCAAAATATGACCATGATGATCTATAGTTGACTGAAAGGATCACACTTTCATTTTATGCATCTCTCCTGGTAATGTTCCGTTTTTTCTGCTCAAGGTTGGAGTTTGTTTCCCTCCTGGTTGCTAAGGAAAGCTGATAAAGTTTCCATTTCCATTTCAGCAATGAACCAATGTTTCTAGAACAATAGCAATGTAGCCTTTATATTCATTTCTCAATCTATAAAGGCACAAAAAATGCAGTGTCCCCGTGACAGAGTGTTGAAAATGTCACTATAAAAGAAAAACAGAGGCTGGCTCCCTTGACCATGTGTGTCTGACCATCGACGTTCTCCCATCTGCATTCTCTTCATCTCTCCTCAACCTGGTAGAGCTGTCCTCGGTTTCATGAGAAATGTCTGCTGCCAGTGACCTTGAAGACCCTGAACTGTATCCCTGTCCACCGCTAACACAATGGCCTTATCTCCCTTGTTTTGCTGGTTCATTTCTCACCTTTGACCTCCTGACCACCTAAATTCCTCCTTAGTAAATCACTGTGGACTTCAGCAGACAATAATGGACTGTGCCATTCGCCGTGTTTAGTCAAACAGGCTAAATTAGAGCAAAGGTATGGTTTCACTGGGCAAGCTAGCCTTGACAAGAACTGTACTGTATTTAAAATGATGAGTTTGCATTCTTTCTCAGAAAAAAATCTTTTAACTTTGACCATGTATAAGTTTCATAGGCAAAAGAAATGACTTAATAAAATGCACATCCTGTGCAGGGCTTCCTGGGACCCAAACCAAGCAGTGTGACCCAGTACTCAATAACCAGTATGGAAAATGGATCCCATTTCCACACCAGACCAGAACTTCGATGCTGTGAGCGATACACCCAGAAACAGCCCCCATTCTTACCTATTAGCTGCTCTCCTATTGGTCAGACCAGGCACACCTATGTTTGTGGTTAACCAAGTCTTCTCAAGCTGGGCCACTTGGTGTGAGTTGTCCAATGATATTAATTGTATGAAATCACTGTTTCAGACATAGGAACTCTGAGAATGTAAAAGATTCCTTTCTTCATGCAACATTTTATTATTTAGTATTTTATTCCAATACAGAATGATGGTACCAGTGTGTGTGTGTATATATACCCTTATGAAAATTCTCTATGGTTTCCTATGGTTTTTGTGCAGTAACCATAGTTTTACTATGGTACCTCATGGTACTTTGGTACTACCCATAGTACTACCATGGTTTACATATAGCACTTCATGGTAACTATGGTACTACATGGTAAAACAAAAACCATGTTTTATGACCAAGATTGTACTAGGGTTTAACTGTAGTGAAACCATGATAAAACCATAGTCATGGTTTCCATAGTTACCCAAAAAACCATGTGTTTATGATTAAATAACCATAGTTATTTAATCATAGTAAAACCATGGTTAATTTTTGTAAGGGTATGTGTGTGTAGTGTATTTTACTCTGAACTGTATTGCCTTGTTTATTTTTTAAAGGGTGAGAGCTTATATATAGTTGCTAGTTCTTTGCTCCTTCTTCCTGACCAGCGCCCCCCCGCTTGCCACCTACCTAAGCACCCTCATGCGTCTGAAAGACTAATTAAGGGGCGCGTGGCCAGACTTGCTGCAGCAGCTTGGCCTGGCTCCAGCGGTGGGTAACCCGCCCCGCCGTCTGATCTGTGGCGTTGGCTCCAGACAGTCCCATCATTGTATCCCAAACAATGCACCCCATACCCACTGAACTCCTTGTTCAAATGTGGGAGACACCCACAGTCAGGAAGCAGGACTCCTTTCCAATTTTAGAAGGCCAGCAATTCTGTGAAAGCTCCGGCCAACGCTGGCAATCATGGAGGAAACCCTCCGGAGATCCTGGAGAGCTTTTCTGAGGCTGGTACATTGGGTCAGATCATTGGACTGGTTCTGCACCACAGGCTCCCGGTCAATCATCAAACTTAATGCATCTTAAGACTGAATTCTAGTGCTATACACAGTAACAATTTCTCTTTGAATATTTTTAAGGTATGCATTGTACCTGCAGTGGTTTGTAGAAATAGCTGATCTTCAGGTGCAAACATCTTAATAAATGGGAATTAAACGTCAGTTTGAAGACAGCCTATATTGTTAAAATTTATTTTGCGTACGCTTTTGTTTAACAAAATGTATAAGTGAAGCAGTTAATAAAATGAAAATTATGCTTTATTTGCACATCCCTCCTTTGACACATATATATAGTTAGGAGTGAAGCTTGGGTACAAGGTCGGCTGTTTATCTAGAGGGGGTGGGGCTTTGTCACGTGCCCAATAAACATATAACTGTTCTGCTAAGGATGGGATTTGAACCATTAGCCTTCTGCTCACAAACAAAGAGACTTAATCTGCTGAACCACATACAGTCCTCTGTACAGCACATGCTTCCAGCTATCAAAAAGCCAATTAGAAATTAATCTCTTGGGTATTTTTGCTAGCTAAAATGTACCTTTTAAAAATATTGTAAAGAACAAATATCAATATATCAACAGCAGCTTATAAGAATGAAGTAGCACATTGGAGATATTACAAACGTCTCACATTATTCTCCAGCATGGTGTGCCACTCTAAGCATTTAAATCAACTTCTAATAGAGTGGATTTGTCTTTTTTTCCAAAATTCTGAGGCTCTTACAGCATGAACAAGATGTAGAATAGGAGTGATGTGTGTACTCTGGGCTGAGGAAGTAAATAAAACTTAATAGAATCCATGTAGATATTAAGCACAGCATAACAAATGCACACGTATTTTAAAATACCTGTTGTGGCTTGGCGTGGTCTTAAATCTTAAGGTTGTGTGGGTGTCTGGTTTTCATTGGTTCCTTTTTGTGACCCAAAAATGTGGTTAGGTGAATTGGTGCCTCCAGATTGGCTGTAGTGTATGCGTGCTTGTCCTGTGTTGATGGACTGGCAGTCTGTTCTGTGTGTCCCCTGCTTTGTTTCCTATGTTTCCTGGGATAGACTCCAGGCCCCTCTGTGACCTTGCACTGGATAATGTATGGAAAATGGATGGAAATCTTTTAGTCCTGTGTCTTTGTTTAATCAAGATTCAAAAAGGTTTATTGTCATTCTGAGAACATGGGGATAGCATGTTAGGGAATGAAATTAGGTACTGAGGTCTTGTGAACAGCACTACAGTGTAAAACATACATTCACTTATAGGAAAAAAGATGTACATAGTAAATTTAGAAGAAAAACAATGACATGATATAATATTGCAAAATAGCGTATTAATTCATTTTGAAACAAAAGTGCAATTATAAAGGAAAGCTTACATAGTCCAACAGGTTTTCTTCCCACCTGAATTCTTAATAATAATGAACAGCTTCAGCTTGCTATGTGAAATATAGTAGTGTTTCTGAATTCCCGTTTGTGGTGATGAGCAGTGTTTAATAGCCCTCACGATTCCACGAAACTGCACAAATACACCCAAGTAACAGAGGCACATCATGCTTGAAACACGCAATACTTTCAGGGGTAGGATGTTCCTACTAAGGAATGTGTTGCTCATAGCTATTAGCGCAATAAAACATCTATCCACCCATCCATCTATCTATCCAATAAAACATCAAGAACATAATTCATTGGAAGCTCATAAATGAACATCTGCGTAGGGTTAGGTTTGGTTTGTTTTGAACAAAACACCAGAACGCACATGTCTCTTCAACGACCAAGTCTGACTTGACAAGCACGTCACTGCCAAAAAAGGAAACCCTTCTTTTCGATATCACCACCCAGCCACTAGGGGGAGGTAGTCAAAAATGTCAGATGACGGAGACGTCATTCGTTCCCTGCGCAACCCTGCCTGCGCACGACAGCCCTGCTTGTCGGATCAGCTGACCGAGTGTGATTCGGTCACGGAATCTGTCATATTTGATGCTGACTGAAAATTATGAATATTTGGCTGTAGCAAGTTGCCCCGCTGTAAGGTTTTACATAAAACCATCGCTTCTAGTTTTCGCGCAGGTGAGTGAGGTGGTGGAGGCGTTTTGTTGGCCTCCGCGTCGTGCTGTCATTATATTATTGCTGAATGGGAGTCGAGGGGGGGCGATGAGGGTTAGCGGTTTCTTTAGATAAACACAAATAAAATCGATATCAGTGATCGCGCTTTGATAAATTGTCATACTGTTTATACTTCCATTTGACATCCGTTTCGTATTCTTTGTCATAACGCCGTATACCGTAAAGGGATAAAAGGGAGTAGTGGCTAATTTACGTTAGCACCAACGGGGGTTATTTAACAAATATGATGTAATTGTACTAAATTCTCCCCATTTACTATAAATCAAGTATCATTCGCACGAAAAGTTGCATCTTACTGTGCTTAATGAGAAATATAACATTGCAACATTACGTTAGCTTGCAATCATTTACAAAAACTATTTGCTTTAACCAGGGCTATATTATATGGCTCTGGATCGGGACCACAGACCAGAAACATTAGCCTGTCCGTACATGGACAACCGTGTCCGTGGCAAGACTCGTCTGTGACACTGGTGTTTTTTTTTAATCGGCTATGGAGGCTACACTTCTAAACACCATGTCCGTTGCAAAAATTGTATTTTACTCACAGTGTCCGTCAGACACGCTGTAGTGCTGACCCCTACCGCAGACTCGTGATCTGTCCGTGGTTTAGGGAAGTGTGATAGACGGAAGCACGTTGGAATAACGCATAATATCCGGCAACTCGCATGTCACACAGGAGTGACTGTTCCACAGCACCCCCCCCACACACACAAACACGCGTGTAAGGGATGGCTCAGGTATGCCTCCACAAAATGAGCGTCATTAACGCTAACCGTTTGCTTTAGACCTATTTAACTCTATCTCCTTAGTTTGACTTAAGTGTTGTAAAAATAATAAAACATTTAAAAAAAAAAACTTTTTGGAGTATTAAAAGTATTTAATATAATATATGTCTTTGTGTAGTATTGATCAGTTATGGCTCAAAGTGCTGCCAACCTAGCTGTGGTCTAAAGATATTGTGAATATGCACATACTGCTGTGTATGTTCCTCGTGACATTTTGTCACATTTTTAATACTCAGACGATAACAGGGTTGCTTTGCTCTGTTAGTTTTGCCTGGACAAGTCTAGGATTATCTGGGCTTTTGGGTTATCAGGGATTTCCGCTATTGTTTTTCAAACTTGACATTCAGGGGAATCTAAAACACTGAAAACACTTAGACAACTAAAATATTTAAATAGTAAAAATTGTTATATAAAAAAAACATAGTAATTAATAATCATTCTTTTTATTTGTTAATTATGTTATAGGTGTGTTGCGTTACTGGGGAACAACTTTGATTGGTTATCAGTGTCACCATCATTTATTTCACAGATATTAAAGACACTGGTGTAGTTCAGCACACAGAGAAGTCTGAGAACAGTGCACTGATTTTTGAGGAACAGAGGGTGCTTGAGGGCACAGACTGAAAATTGCACATTCCACCAAGAAATATTGGTACAGATTTAAGATGGCGGCTTTGGGTACAAATTGTCATCAGAGCATTGCAAAGTTCAAACACTTCGACAGTATGTTAATTAATGTTTACTTCTTTGCACATTACTTGTTTTTTGACAGCTTATTTTAGTGTGTAAGGGGTTTCATTTTGATTCTGCACGTGTCTTGCAGCATTCGGATCCACTTACCTTAACCTTTGATCTGTCCAGTTCTAATAGATTTGAGAATTCAGATATCAGCTGCTGCAGTTATTAATACCCTGTACAGGAAGTTGGATTGACTATATCTATCTGTCTGTCTGTCTGTCTAATCAGTGATTGTTCAGCTGGTACTCATGGTCTGCATGTTCCTAAAGGAGAGTTCCATTTCTTTCAGTGTTCCTCAGCCTGTCCTTCCTTTCTGCCTGATGTCCATCACCATGACTGAGTTTTGGTTGATCTCTGCCCCCGGCGAGAAGACCTGCCAGCAAACTTGGGACAAGCTGGTGGCAGCCACTCGTAACAACAACCTCTCCGTCAACAATAAGTTCAACATCCCCGACCTCAAGGTTTGCCCTACCGTGACCCAACCCATCGCCCTGCTGCCACAAAGTTATTTCCCTTCACTGCCCTGTACCACCTCATATTGATAGTTATTCCAGTCACATGACCTTGGGATTCCAGTCCTCTTTTACACCTGACGTGACCCTGCATGCCACATGGGTGACCATTCTCTGTGGAAAGTCAGTAACATTGTTGTGATTGGATGCCCAGGATGAAAGGATTGTATCTTTTCTCTCTGGATACAGGTGGGGACCCTTGATGTCTTGGTGGGACTGTCAGATGAATTGGCTAAACTGGATGCTTTTGTGGAAAGGTAACGTGTCTCACGCCTTTGAATAAAAATCATCAGAGATGGACCTGTTACGTTCGTCTTAGTCAGCTAAGGCCGCTTTCAGCGTGCTCTGTCTTTGGATATTCATAGGCTCGGAATCTGCTGGACCGTTTGGTGCTCAGACTTGCTGGTTCTTGGTACTCTGCGAGGCCAGAGGATTTTAGTTCCTCCCCAAACCTCGCTTCGGCGAGGAATTTCACAGCGCACTGGGGATGGAATGACCACAGACTAAATTTAGCAATTTGAAGTTTGCTGGCAATCTGGCATTTTTCCCTCCTATGATGTTTAGCCTGGTGACTAATGTACTATGGTATCTGTAACTCATACTTAAATGGCTGGGTTTCTTTGTGGGGCATTCCGGCAGCTGAAAATAAATACTTGCTGCTTCTGTCCCAGTACTCGGTCCGGATTTAGACGTGTGGCCACCTTTGATGTAAGATTCCCTGAATACTCCCACCTGTGTTGTCATGCTTGGCCAGTTTAGCCTCTCTGAAGCTTATCCAGGGCCTCCGAAAGCAGAAATGCTTTTTCTGAGGCACTTTTAGAGCAGTGTTAGATGTAGGGTTGTCTCCTACTTCGCTGTTGTCTGATCTATAATACATGCCAGCTTTGGCTTGTGTTGCCTGCTGAAGTGCTTCGCTGAAGCCAAATGAATGGTTTTCATCTGCTTTGGGTCCCTCTGTGGTGGCCAGCACTGGTGCCGTCCAGTCGGTGCTGTCTGGCTACGTCTGTTGTCTGTTGCCTGCTTTCAGCGTGGTGAAGAAGGTGGCGCAATACATGGCTGATGTCTTGGAAGACAGTCGAGACAAAGTCCAGGAGAACTTGCTGGCGAACGGAGGTGAGGTCATCCTACAATCTCCAGCAACCAAGATGGACGTGTTCAAAAGCTGCAAAACAAATGTATTTGAAAATATTTTTCTTCTGAACTTGACAAGAAGGATGGTAGGTCACATTCCAAAAAGGGTGAGAGGCTTAGCTTGGATGCACACTGTGAAGGTCACAATCACCTCCTAGGACTCAACACAGCAACTTTTACATTAAAATATCTGGTGTGCGGTTGAACCACTACAGCAACTCGTCAGTGTGATACTGACAGTGTGATAATTTGCCTCCTCTTTTTAGTGGACCTGGTGACCTACATCACACGGTTTCAGTGGGACATGGCCAAGTATCCCATCAAACAATCTCTGAAGAACATCTCTGAAATTATCTCCAAGGTCTCGCTCCTTTTGGTTTTGGATAGTTGTGTCTGTGATTTCCAGTGTTGTTTGTGTGACTGTCGAGGATCGTGCTGAGTGCCGCCCCCCCCCCCCCCCCCCCCCCCCCTTGTGTTTTCTGTAGCAAGTAAGTCAGATTGATAATGACCTGAAGTCTAGAGCCTCAGCTTACAACAACTTGAAGGGCAACCTGCAGAACCTGGAGAGGAAGAACGCGTGAGTCCTTAACAGACGTGTCGACTTAATGCTAACAGCTGTACTTACACAGTATGTATGCAGTTCTGAGGGTACAACAGCAATATCTTACTTGCCAAATAACCATCAGTGCTTCTCATTGCTGTTCTGCATTTTCTCCTTACATTTTTATAAATGCAGAACAGCATAGTGGGTAAAAACAAAGGTTGTCAGTGTTGCATGTGGCTACGTAGCAAAAATGATTTGTCCCTCCCCCCCCCCCGACAAAAAAAATGTTTGCTCCAGGACAGGCATGTAGCCAGGCAGTAAAACCCCCACAAACCCCCCATAGTGACATCGTGACATAGCAGGGGGCAGCTAATTCAGCGCCCGGGGAGCAGTGCTTGGGGGCGGTACCTTGCTCAGGGTACCTCAGTGGTACCTTGCGGTCAGGGATTTGAACCAACAATCTTTCAACTACAAGTGCGCCTCCCTAACCATTAAGCCACCACTGCCCCGTAAGCAATTGGCCCGTACGGGGACTTTGTAGCCAGTGTAACCTGATGATCTCTGGTGATAAGTACATGCTGCTTTAGATAAAATCATCAGGGATCAACAAATTAAATATTAAAATATTTGTTTATTAGAGGCAGCTTGCTGACCAGGAGTTTGGCTGACATTGTGAAGAAAGAAGACTTTGTGCTGGACTCTGAGTACTTGGTCACCATGCTGGTGGTTGTACCAAAGTGAGTACATGAAGTCTGTGTGAGTAAAAGGATGAAGATAGAGGACAATGTGTGGGATTCAGTTTTAAATAAGTGCATAGCATCCTCCTATAGTGTTTCATATGGATTGTAGTACTTGGCATGTAGTATATTGTTGAAATTGGATTTTGTTCTTTCAGATTGTTACACCAGTCCATTTGTCTTCATTGATAAGAATGAAGGCTCCTTTGCCGTGTCTGTTAAACTGCAGAAAGAACCCTACTGAGAGTTTAACCCCAAAGTTTTTGGTTGCCTCACAGATAAGCAGAACAGTTGGCGCCAACTTGTGGCCAACAGATGTTTTACATCTTCTATCGTTAATTCCTCATTTCTGTGCGTTTCTGGAAATCCCTCTGGCAAATGTTTTGCAACAGGACAAATTACGCGGAATGGCAGAAGACGTATGAAACGCTCTCTGAAATGGTGGTACCACGATCAACTAAGTGAGTGCGTACTGGGGAGGGACAATCCATGGTGTCCGTGGTTACTGGGATACTGAGCTGGCTGTGCAGAGAATCTTGTTGGTCTGTTGTACTGGTTGCAACTGTGGCTAATTGCTTTTACCCGCCCGCATCCTAACCCTCCAACATCTACTCAGCCTTCTATTTGAGGACCAGGAGAGTGGTCTCTTCAGTGTCACACTCTTCAGGAAGGCCGTCGATGACTTCAAGCACAAAGCCCGGGAGAACAAGTGAGGGGGCCTGCTGCTTTGCATTCTGGGTTATGCTGGGGGATGAGGAGCGGGGGCAGAAGGAGAACCTGCTGATAACCGGGGGAGGGCCCGTCTCTCTTTGCAGGTTCACTGTCCGGGACTTCCAGTACAACGAGGAGGAGATGAAGGCTGACAAGGAGGAAATGACTCGGCTGTCGACGGACAAGAAGAAGCAGTTTGTACGCGTTGCCACTCCCAAGTGCCGTTTCTGTGGCTCATGTAGCTGTATAATGCTGTAAAACCCTCAAATGGACACAGGTCTTAATATCATGGCCCGACAGCATCACATGAGCCTTCAGGCCAGTGCTGGTGACCTTGGTGTTCTGATGGACAGTCCAATCTTTATCGTCCATATATGCATCATTTTTGCATGCTTATAATGTTGAAATAAAGGATTCCACAATATTCCCCCCAGTCTCAGCCAACAGCTTCCTACAAATGGCGTTGTATGGTAGTTCCTAGCCTGGCCACTAGTGGACGCTTCTGAGGGTAATCCTGACGCTGCTCACTCTGTCTCAATAGGGGCCACTTGTCCGGTGGCTGAAGGTGAACTTCAGCGAAGCGTTCATCGCCTGGATCCACATAAAGGCGCTGAGGGTGTTTGTGGAGTCAGTCTTGAGGTAGCGCTCTTCGTTTTTACTTGTGGAGCTTAACGTTCACATTCTCACCTGCTTGTTTATGCTGTGCGGCTGATCTAATAATGGCTTCCGTGAGTATCCCTGACGCCACAGTGCTGTCACCTCCGCAGGTACGGACTGCCCGTGAACTTCCAGGCCATGCTGCTGCAGCCCAACAAGAAGAACATGAAGAAGCTGAGGGAGGTTCTCAACGACCTGTACAAGCACCTGGACAGCAGCGCCGCCGCCATTATCGACGTGAGTACCGGCTCTTGCCAAACCTGCCGGAAGAGGACCATCTTCCCGCCCTAGACTGACAGGCCGGTGCCACCTAGTGGCTGCTGGCAGATTATCATTTTTGCTGCATCCACAACGTTTGCTTTTAAAGTCGTCCCCCGGCATGCAGTTGAGGGATGCGAAGGGGAATGGAACAGCGCAGCACAGATACACAAACACACAGTTTGAAATCCACTTTTTCTTCTGTACCAGGCCACCATGGACATCCCTGGTCTGAACCTGAGCCAGCAGGAGTACTATCCCTATGTATACTACAAGATCGACTGCAATCTCCTGGACTTCAAATAGATCCTCACTGCACCTCTCTGCCACTACTTCATTCCGCATTTTAGATGTTTTGATTTTTATGTTGGATGCAGATGAATTATGAAAATACTGAATTTAAATTGGCTTCTGGTATCACGCGTGGGTGATCCCACGCTGCTTGGGAAAGGAATCCCACAAAAAAGCGGGTTCTCTGTGTGGTGTGGAATCTTTTGCTCTTATTTAATTCAGTTTACATTTTTAAAAAATGTAATCCAGCTGGAAAGGTTGAGGTATTTGTACATGGGTGGCTTATTTAAAAATAACCGTCCGCTTATGTGTTTTGAATCATTCCTTGTCTGTACATCATGGGGCAGTGGTGTTCGTGGTCGGAGCTATTTATACACCTTTACTCTGGGTTCTCCTATTCTCTCGACCCAGCTTACCTGGTCTTCTTCCCCAAGTACTTGTGAAACAACAAAAACTGTGGTACTCAAAAACAATGTGTGGTTCAGTTCCATGTCTGTATATTTTGTGTTTAAATAGTACATGTGCAAGATCTTGTCATTATCGTAACTATAAACAAATAAATATATATGGGTATAAAACCGAGTGGGTCTGCTGCACAATGGCATTAACAACCCAGCGGCGTGAATCTGGCGCTAGGGTAACTTTTGATACACTTCTTGAAACACCGAAGCTTTGAGACAGGCAAATTAACCATTTGTCTTGTACATTAATAAATAAATACAGGCATTTCGTTGTAACCCACTGGGCAAGAACTAGATGGGCCAGCAACACCGAATAAGGAGCATTGGTACTTGCAAAAAGCTGCCAAAATAATATTAAAGCAGAGACTTTCAAAATGGCAGCTTTAGAAGCAGGAGTTTTCTGTCAAAATAGGATGTAGGCTAGGTGTGTTTCATAGGGTTTCTTACCTTTTTATTCAAAGAACATATGATTACATTAAAGGCAAAGCAAGATCCAGTAGGCCCTCTGTCTGCTAAATCAGTACCAGGAGATGCTTAGACGGTCAGTGCGTTTATGTCGTGTGACAGTACGGACACACACGTCAGGAGAGCCTCTGGAAACCAGTCAACCAGACAAGATGTTAGCCCAACTGCGGCTCATCCCCTCATTCCCTCATTCTTCACTGCCAGCATTACTCGTTAAGCCAGAAGAGAAAATATTAAATGGTGAAATGTTGAAAATGTGAAACACTGACTAGACTTTTATGTCAATACTTTAACACCAGTAATAACAACAATAACAACATGCCTAATAATAATCATAATAACAAACATTTGCAAGCTCCCTACATTTGCGAACAGTATATTATTGTTATTCAATTATTCTAGGTGCCTGAAATGAGCTAAAAGACATGTGCGCTATAACAGAAATTACGTGCTATACATATTAAGAGCAGTCTCCGGTTTGTTTTCAATCTAGTACGCCTACCGTGACGTAGACAGGTTTTTTCATTTCTCCCGCAGATCCCCCTACATCCGTAGAGGGGGTTTCGTACTTATACCCGTTTCGGAGCATTTTCGTTGAAGCAAATGGCGGTAGGGGCAGAAGCCTTTCGGGGAGCGATGGCTTTGAGCATGGTGGGGGCTCACGGGGGGAACTGAAAGCCTTCGCTTTTGGACGGCCAGCGGGGGAGGGCAGCGCGGATGGGTTGCGGTGGAAGCAAGGCTAACGCAATCGAGCCACGCTACTATGAGAGCTGGACCAGGGAGACCGAAACGACATGGCTAACAAACACCGACACCGAGGTCCCCCAGCTGGGTGTCATCAATAAAAATCACGGCAGTGCTGAAAAAGAAGGCGCCGCAACATGTGCAGGTTAGTGACGGGTAAGCTCCCGGTCATTGCAATAATGCTGCATTACATCTGAATGAACTGCGATAACTCCTGCGAAAGACAGGGAAACATGCATTTCTTTTAAATTGAAAATCGAAGGATCCCATTCCTGATAATCGGATTTTATAATGCACGCAAAAATAGCACAATTCGTGAAAATTGCTCCTCTAGGAACACCCAGGTAATACAAGGCAGTGTTGGTACACGCAGGAATATCGGAAATAACGGGAAAATCATAAAGCGCAGAATCTAATTTATCACAAGGTACGTTAATGGCTCACAGAAAAAACGGCATATCCTTGGAAGATGATCATGTGTATGTCAAAGCCTCTATACGTTTATTTATCAATCTCTCTATTTATTTAGTTCATCGTCATTATTATTATTTTAGTCTTATTATTTGAGCTGTAACGTAAGAAATTTAAAGTTAACCAAGGGAGGGCTGTTGACCCGGCTGTCATGCCTGGGTCAGCGCTCCTATCTTGACTTTCCAGGTAAGGGGGATGAGGGAAAACAGGAGAGCGCTGGCGCCTCCCATCGGCCGAAAAAAATGGTGAACGCCTGCACGCAGTGTGGAAAAGAGTCCCTACCCTCGGGCACCAGCACCAACAGCCAGATGGGGTCTTCTTATCACGAGGAGGTATGACTGACAGGTCTGGGTTTACATTCATGCTCTGTCACCTGGGTGCATTACACATGTACTCTAGATACCAGAAAGGTCCAATAGTATGTTTAATCTTTTTTCTGTACACAAAAACCCTAAAGAAGTCTGTGTACAAGTAGGAGGTGGAGTTCTAATATTAAATCTCCTAGTCCAAAATGTATTTCCTTGACGTAACTGCTGCGAGGTTCTGTGAATGTTGATTCCCCCGGTGTAACTAGTTAGCGCTGTTAGGCTGTACAAAGGCTTTGGATTATTATGCTGTTTGAACATAATTCACCCCTCAAGAGACAGACGTTCGCTTCAGTTGAGCTCTTCACACATTTTCCAGTTCCAGAGTGTGGAGAAAAGGCACACGGACACTGTGCGTGTGTGTGTGTGTGTGTGTTTGTGTGTGTGTGTGTGTGTGTGTTTGTGCGAGCGAATCTCTCCATCTTTTTTAATGGTAGGTCACAGAGGAATCCGGAAGGGAGGCACGGGGGGGCGGTGCAGACAGCCCCCAGGAGACGGGTGTGCGGCCGGCGACACCCCAGAGTGTGAAATAGGGCCCAGCATTCCCAGGAGATCCCAACCAGAAGGCCACACCTGGAGTCTCTGCTCTCCGTGTGACTGACTGAGGCTGCTGGAGGAGCTGTTTCTATTAAGCAACCCAGGAGGAGCCGAAGGTGGCCCAGCTTGGCGACGGGCTGCCGGCAGGCGCATGCAGAAAGTGCCCTTTTGCTGTTTTGAAAGTGCCACTGCGTCGTCCACCATCAATGATCGTGCTGGTCCATTGATAGGACGTTCCACAGTCCTCAACCATCATGTCCACCATGAATTTCACTAGAACTAGCAGTTAAGATATGCCAATCCGTCTGAATGCTTAATGAAATATCCTGCTTCGATACATGAGAAGTATTTAAAACCACAAAATCTCCTGTTATACAGATATGTTCCCAGGCCTTAATTAATGGATGACTTTCTTCTGTAACTGTTATGTGTCCAGTGTTATTTCTTCTGTTAAATTAAATAAAAGAAACCTCCATCTTGTCCGGTCCATCTCTGTCTGTCCTGTGTCAATTTACCAAACTAGTGTTTCCCAATGCGGTCCTTGGGGACCTACAGTCGGTCCGTGTTTTTGCTCCCTCTGATCTCCCTGCCAGGCAGTTCACATTTTTCCTCCCTACCGGGTACCCAGTGCACTGCTGAGAGCTGGAAGGGAGCAAAAACGTGGCCTGTCTGTAGCTCCCCGAGGACCGGATTGGGAACTATATCTCTAGCTTGTCAGAAGAGGGATCGATGTTTACACGGCATGTGCAGATGCCCTCTGTGCTATGATTAGTTGTAACAGTTTTCAATGCGGCTTGTCTGATTTTTCTTGGCAACTGGGCGCACGACAGGGAATGATTGCGAGGTACTGTACCAGCTGGTGCACAACATGGTCATTGCATATGTACTACATCTGCTATTTCTTTGCAACTAGCCACCTTAGGTTTAAGTTCCTTGTATGCTTGATCTGGGGTCACTGCAAAGGATGTTGTGCTCTCTGGCCTGCGGGCAAGACGACTGGTGCAAGTCACAGGCACACTGCTGCAGAACAAGAGTCTCACTGGAAAACAGACTTTCCTGAGAAAGACTTCCAAGATTCACTCTCCTCTCCAACTGTGAAAAAAGAGGCTTACCAAGAGACTGGTGTTCTCTTTTCAGGCTTTAAGAGAGTTAGGGGGTCAAGGCTGCACAGTGAAAATTTGTGGGGGAAACAGCAATAAACTGAAATTTGCAACAGGGTCTGGTCTGGACTACTGGACCCCTAAACCTACAGTTGTGAATTACACAGTGAATCAGCACAAACAATCCCAGTCACCTGACTTTCCCTCCCGAGAAGACCACGCCCCCTCACTTCACACAGGGATAAAAATGGCTCTCAGTTAGACCCCGTGTTTATTGCATGAACGATCTTACAGTTTTACCATCCACAAGTAATACGTGGAATTTTAATCCCAAACGAATATTATTTCGCCGTTTTATGTAAAACAGTCAAAACAGCCACTTAGCGTTAAGAGCAAATATTTAATGTCTGACAAAAAAAATCGTGATTGAACAAGGTCTACTTGAAACTCCTTGAAAGATGAAAGGCTTTAGTGCCAAGATGCGACAAAAAAGCAAGTCGTATTTTACTTCCGGAATAACTATTTTAAATGCGAATTGTGGTTTTATAAGATGCATGTGTTTCTCAAACAAAAAACAATATATAATACAAATAAACAAAAAATAATAAAATACATCCAGAAAATATTTTTTCCGAAAGTGATACGTTGGCTGTCAAATATCGGCAGAGGGCGCAATAAATCACGGCAAATCTATAAGCTCCAGAATTAATTTTCCCTACAGGATTACAAATATTTATTAAGCACTTCATTTAATGGCACAGCTCGTAAGTTTCTTGAAAGAGTAATCAGTGCATCTTAAATTGCTAACAGTAGGGTCTACGCACAAGGCATTTCATTTACGGAGACAAGGAAAATACATTCATCCAAAATAATCAAAATCGATGTACTGTTTGTGATACCTCGAATTTATGTGTTACATTTACTTCTAAAATTTGTTCGTTATACATAGATGATTCCCTTAGGTAAACATCCGTGAAATGCCTGTCATTTTAAGGAAGAAAACAAGAATTCATGTGACGAATTCATCTTAGGAATCCCAGTTAATATAAATAGGGACAGGTTATGAAACAGGATTTCAAAATTTAGTATTATGGCGAAAGGAAATTCACAACGGGGGTCACAGGCTGGGGTTCAACACTGGATGCACAGTACAGGGTAACAGTACAGTAAGTGAAGGGTAACATAAATAATGTACAGCATTCGGCTATGATTCGTAATAACGACAGCTATTTGAGTGCGTTATTTTAATACATTTTTTATCAGAATATGGGGAATTGAAAATGAATAGAAATCAGGATTCCTGCAGCGCAGAGTCATAGCTGGAGGACGAAAATGACAACACCGGCACGAATTATACAACTTAGCGGGCATGTGGACCACGTAAGCAAGTCGGTCACGTGACCAGAGCGCATAAAAAAGGCTGACAGAAGGGCGGCTGTATTCATAGCGCTGGTGTTACAGTCGGGATTCACGTTGGAGGGTCCAGCTCTGCCGTATGACTTACGGCAAACACTAGTGTGATTAGCTGTTTAGGCTCGGACCTCCCCACCTTTGACGGATATAATGAGAGCATGGCCAAGCGGCGGGACGCCGATGAAGGGAGGCTGAGCGCTCCGGCGGCGCGACCGGAGCGCGGCGATGCGCTGGATCCCGGGCAGCTGACCATGGATGGCGAGGACGGAGCGGAGGAGGAGCTGTCGCTGGAAGAGATCTTGGTTCTGTACGGCCAGCCGATCAACGAGGAGCAGGCATGGGCCGTGTGCTATCAGTGCTGCTGCTCCTTGGCGCGGGGAAGCGGGGGAGAGTCCAAGTCCCGTGGGGCTTCAGCGGGGTGTCACGCAGGCAGGATCGGGGGACCCGGGGACGTCAGGATTCGCAAAGATGGGTCTGTCAGGTTACAGCATCAGGATGCTCCAGGTAATAACACCAGGCTGCCTGTAAGGTAGCATCATTCCCCTGGTCATTTCTGACAGCTTCAGGGATGATCTCAATGTGTTCTCTTATGTTATGCTTTATATGAATAATCAAAATCTCAAAGCTTTACACTTATTTGCATTAAGAATTAAAACACCACTGATTTGCCCCAGTTTACGAATAATGGATGAGATTAAAATAGTATATGTACGTACAAAACATTAGTCGCGCCGATGAAAATATTCCTGAAATGCTCTCCATACTGTTTATACTCGGTTGACAATTCTGTATTATTTCATGTACAAAATAACATTGATGTGAGCGTTTGGATAGGGAGGTTGTGTCTGCGTGGAGCCTTTAGAGTGGCCATATTTGTCGTACATAAATGACATAAATGTATTTTCGGTGGTGGGTTGCAGAGATGCCAAGCGGGCCGTTAAAATGCAGGGATGCTGCGCGGGTCCATCTTGTCGGCTGTTCGAAATTATACCGCAAATATAGATTATGTAACACGCGTGGAGATCAAGCCCAGCCCTGGCTTTTCCGAGGCTGAAAAAAACATGCGATTCCATGGCTATCATTGATCTATCGTATCAAAATCAAAAGACACGTCGATTATCATTTTGTTATCAGATGTCATTTAATTCAGATTTTATATTAAATGTTCTGAAGTCAACATAAAACCAAGCGGCTGACACATGACGCCTGCTGAATTACACATTTAAATAACGATATTTACAACTGTCCGTCTAGCTGCCACCCCAGAGATCATTCCAGATGGTGGCCGACACAAAGGTGCTGTCTCCCGGGCTGTCTGTCTGCCGCTGTAAACAATGGAACCGTGCGATTTAATCAGCCCAGAGCTGGGACAAAAGGACCCCCCCCCCCACGGCCATGTTCATGTCGCGACATTAACCAAGTCGCGCCCGTCGTTGACCGCGAATTGCCTCCCCATTGAGAAATTCGGGCTGCCACGAATATCAACCCGCAGTTATCCTAACATCAAGATGCTGAAGTGCCTTTGGTGTAAGATTTAATGATATTTACCTGCCTATCGTTACCAGTATGATGTCCGGCATGACGAAATAATTTAAAGCAATATCTCCGGATGATTTTAAGCAAGTTAACTAAAGAACAGTTTAAATCCTTGGTGGTTTAGTGAATTATAAATAAACTTGGCCTATTTTTATGTAGAATTTGTTAATATAAAAAAGAAACATGCAATGTGAATTAAATATTTTAAGAAGTTTTAAATTTCCACTCATATGCTAGTAAATGGTTAGATACGTTTACACACAAACAGACTTAAATGTTATCGTGATCTTACTTTTGGTTCAGGTTTATAGGTGGGGGTCGGGTGGGGCAGGCCCCTGAATTTAGAGAAATGGTTCCAAACAGTTCCCATCTATCTGCTGTTCTCTCACCGGCTCCTGTCCATTACTGCCGTTTCTGATTACCGCTGTAATACACCCGGCGGTCGTCCATCTGGCAGCTCATAGTGCCCGTTTGTTCAGCCTCGCGCACTTAGGCTCTCGGTGACGAGGGGCAGGCCTTGTTATGCTGAATGAATGGACCGATAAGCTTCGTGTTGCATCCTCAGTCACACTCTAATGTTCGTAATCGTACCTCTGGATGCTTGCGGTGGTTTTCGCAAAGGAAATGAATTAAGGCTAAGGTGGGGCTAACCTGCCGTCCCATCCAGGATGCCCTCAGTCTAGTGTGCTGTATTTCCTGTGATAGACTCCAGGCTCACTGCAACACTATACTAGAGAAATGGTTATGGAGATGCAAGGTTGGATTGGTGAATAATAACAATAATAACATGATTATAAATACAGATAATATGACAGACGATTAAGGAAGGAGCCACGAGGCCTACATGTGTTAATAATCTTTGAATACTGTGTTGTTTTCAAGCGTTTTTTTTTTTTTTTTTTTAAATGCTGCTCTGGGATTGGAACATAAGACCTACTGAAAGTGTTAGACTGCCCAGTTCCCCCTGCCAGCCACCCCAAAAAAAAGATCATAGTTAAAGCAAAAGTGTCATAGGGAAGTTTCTCCAACACTCTGGTGTGCAGCAGAGCGCTTACACCATGGGATTCTGGGAGCTAAGAGGCAGTTTGATTAGCTACAAGATTGTTTGCGTTGGGGCCCAGTGATAGACTTAGTGACATCACGGCCATGGAAATATGTTGCAGCCTGAGATGATCTGTACTCTGCTGTATAGCACATGGCTAATTTAGGAAAGTCATGTGACACTCAACTTCATTGGACTCAGAGATCTGAAACTTGTGGAGTCTATTAACCCAGATCCTGGGATCTTAATCCTGGGATGTCATTACTGGTTGCGGAAAATCAATACTACAGTAATAAGTGCTCAACTTGGCTTCTAGTTACGACAGGTCATCACACTGGCCCGGGGGGGTTACAACCCCCCACCACACTTGGTACATTTAATGACATTCAAATTATCCGCAAACCTGTAGTCACCTCTCTTAGGTAGTTTTTTTGTGCAAATTAATGCCTAAGCTCAGAGCTCGAATGAGAACTGATCTTTTTTACTGCTTATCTAGTACAGGACCGTAGCAAACCTGAAGCTTTTTCCAGGAAATACGGGACACCTTTGATGGAATGTAAGTTCATTGCACACCAGGACGGGTAGAAATACTAATTCACCCAAACTCATGGTTTTGGGCCATGGGAGGCAACCAGAATGAAACTTAGAAAGAACATGCGACGCCACAAACACACACGGCCTGTGGTCACATTCAGACTCCCAGCCTCGGAGGTGTGAGACTACAATGCCATCGGGTGTGTCATCGCTTTTGTGATCACCGCATACTTACAATGACTTGCCTTGATTTTTTTTTTATCTGCTGCTAATTACATTCCTTCAGAGCATAATTGTCTTCGCGTCGCTTCGGCCTGAGCCTCGCCCACCGCACGCATCGCCGATCGCCTGCATTGGCTACAGAAGTATTTGCTGAATTTGCCAGAACAGGAATGACGGCATTCTGTGCCACGGATAACCATAGCGACTCACTGGGTTGGTCCAAAAATGCATCCCGCTGTTTCCATTTGATGATGTGTTCCCTGCAACCTTTTCCTCTTCCTTGGCTGAAGATAAAATGCGGGCTCCAGCAGGAGCTCTGGGCGGCTTTGCGAGGCAGAGGCGAGGGAACATTTCAGGATGCGACCGACCTTCGAAAGGCGTCCATCTTAATTGTGACAGCAGCGTTGCGACGGACAAAGAGACTCGGGGTGGGGTGGGGCGCGCTGTTTACTTCCTGCCTTTCAGGTTCTATGTTCCTGACTCACTTTCTCCAAGTCAAAGAACTGATATCTGTTCATCTCTTGAGCAGATCGATGTGATATATTTTGTCTATTTCAAGGAACTATAACACAGCAGGAAGTTAAAATGAGCTCCGGTATCCCAATTATCACAATTAGGATCAGTTATCATCTTAGGGAGGAGGCTGTATTTATTTTTAATTTTTTTTCCCCTTTTCTCCAGGTAAAACTTGCACCTGTGTAACCTTTTGTGCCATATTTGCATATTCTATGTGGCAGTGCCTCACACCAACAGGGTTGTTGGTTTGCGTCCCGCCTCAGTTCTGTGTGTATGAAGTTCTCATGTTTTCCTCTTCTGGGTTCCCCGCTTGCCTTCCGAAGGCCAAAGACGCACAATGAGGCTGATTGATGCATCTGATTTGTACACGTGTGCGTGTGTTTGCGGCCCGCTGTGGAGAGGCCTCCAATCAGGGAGTATTCCAGCCTTCTGTCCTGTGTCGTGTCAGATTGCTCCAGACCCCTCGTGACCCTGACTAAGATAAGCATTTAGAAGCCAAATGAACAATTTCTGAATTTACAGATGATCATACACAGAAAGTAGCTAAGCTGGGTTCAGTATTTTGACCATAGGTGGCCAATAAGTCTGATTCTGAGTGTGATTCAGGTTAAATTCTGTTGAGGTAGATAGGCTGCCAAAGGTCAGACAGTTTAAATGCGGGGCTGCTATAATGTACAGGTTTACTTGGGCTGGAGCCCAGGGGCTTCCGTTAAAAAGGGGCCTCAACTAACTTTGTTCAATAAAATTTAAACTCCACACCCACCCCCTGCCCCCCAGCATCAGTCAACAAGTTTTATTCTCGTAGATAACAGTGGGGGCCCCCTGACAGCTCAAAAAGCCCAGGGCCTCTAACCACAGTAATATGCCTCAGCTTAGAATAGATGCATTGTTGGTTCCAGGTCAGTTTTTTCTCTACAAGTTAGTGTCCAGTCTTTTCTGGTTTGCTTGGTCTTCTGACTTGTTAGGCAAGTAGAGCTCAGAATGACCTGGAGACAGTCAGTCAGGCCTCTAGCTGTGTCTGCTGTCTCTCCATGTCAATCCAGCCAACATACCCTGGCTGGTTAGTTCCCTCCTCCATCAGAATTGAATTTATTCTCACGTCACAGAGGTCCTGATGGGTAAACGATCTGTTACATTCTGCTCTGTTGTTTGTCCTTCATCCTGTAGACCCCAATAGATAGTTCAGGTCCAGAAAGTAAAAATCCAGACCAAGATTTTGTTTCAGCCAACCAGTTGAGTTCTCTCTGACTGTGACTCTTTATACTCAACTGGTTGGTTGAAACAAAACTTTTTGGACTTTTATTCCCTGGACCTGAAATCTCCACCTCTGCTTGGCATGTACTTTTGAATTTACTTTAAATACCAAAATATAAGGAGGAGGCTGACATGAGCTGTGACTCAGATTTACTAGAATCTCTGATCAGAATGTGCTTTATTCTATAATAAAAGCGGGAAGCTGGATATTGTCAGTAGAGCCATTTTACAGATGGGAGTTTTAAGTGGGTGAGAGTGACATGTACTGCTTCACTCCCATGGAAACAAACACTACCTAGCCTTGCTAATCTAGCAGGGAAGTTGAATTAAAAGGGGAGGGGGGATGTCATATTTTCACTGGGTCGCAATTAGACTGCACTGCGTTCTTCCTCATAAACAATTAAGACATCCGTGTTCACCGTCATTTGTCCCTGCAGGAATGACACAGCTTTTTGGCAGATAAATCTCCAACACAGAATCATGTCTTTTTTTCCCTCCCCAAGAATCAGTTTATTAATGTGAAATCCCTCAGCCCCGCCCCCTGTGACACGCCCCGCCCCCTGTGACACGCCCTGCCCCAAGCGTTAAGTGCAGCTGAGCTTCTTGCTTACGGTGTTGCTTCAATTTCATATTGGAAAGATTGTAATCAAAGTTAAATTATATTGTATGATAGCTGAAATCTTCCTTTGACTCTCCAATAGCTTTGGTTTAGCAGCATAATTAATAATAGCATTAATTTGTAATGCACTTCCATTTAATCAGTGATTACTTGTTCATAGTTCGTGAGTAAAATATGGTAGAAAAAACTGGTAAATAACATTAAAGTTTCACAAAAGGTGAAAAATTTTCAAAATAATGGGTACAGCTGTTTGACTAACAGAATTAAAGTGTATAGCTTGTGCATAAGTAAAGTATTTACCCTCATGATGGATTGTGTCACTCAGTCAGTTAATTTCCTTATCAAACCTGAGGAACATAACTTGACAGAATGCTGGCATTTATGGGTGCTGTACAGAGCAGGGCTGGGAAATTCTGTGCTACTGAACGGTGAGTGTGTGTGTGTGTGTGTGAGCGGGTATACCTATCCTTATGGGGACACAATGTCCCTATAACGTGATAAATATCTGGTTTTTTTCCCTTATGGGGACCGATTTCCTGGTCTCCATAAGGGAAAACTCTATTTTATAAAAGTCGGTGACTGCTGTGAAAAAACTAAAAATGCAAAAACTCTTGTATTTCGTTTGGTTACTTATGGTTATGGTTAGGGCTGGGTGGGGGTTAAGGTTGTCATAGTTAGCGTTAGCATTTTTCCCATAGAAGTGAATGAGCTGTCCCCGTAAGGACAGGTATACCTGACTGTGTGTGTGTGCGTGCGCACGCGCGTGTGAGATAGTGTGTGTGTGCACGCGTAATGACGGGACTCGCCACAAAGTGAGTTTGTGTTCGCGCCAAGCCGTGAGTGTTAAACGGGGCAGCACTCTGGCCGTTTGACCCCCTGGCTCTGCTTTAGCATTGTTGGAGTTGCCGTGGTGTTTCCATAGCAACAGCTAGCCGGAGACAAAATCCACGAGGGGGGGGGGGGGCGCCAGGAGCCCGATAACCTGGTATCCTATTCTGTAAAGCACCTGCAAAATAATAATAAAAAACATCTCAAGAAGCTTAAGATTCTTACGTTACAAGTAATTTAATATTAAAAAGACGGCGTACTGCAAAAAAGCAATTATGAGTTATTTTAGTTTGTCCTTTCTGTGAGTTCGGATTGTCTGTTTTTCTTCCCTCCTTAATATAATAAAATGCTTACAGGCATATCTCACAAGAGGGCTTTTCTAAGCTAACTATGGCTGATGGAGTTTACAAAATGTTTTCAAAAATGGGCATCATTGTAACAAAAAAAAAAAACAGTAAACTTATCCCTCTGGTCCTGAATTAACTCCTGATGGTCTTTTATCCATTTTAAGCACTGTACAGTTGTTGTCCTTGTAAAATATGGGTCAGAACAATGATTAATGTACAGATTTTTTATCTGAATTTTGGAGATCTTAGCTCCAGTCGTTATCAAGCCCAGAGACTCATGGTGACAGTCGCTGCCATTTTTCATGACCTGCTCTTCCGTAGCTGTACGTTTGACTTCAGTGTTTCTCTTTTCCCCAACAGATAAGCATCGGTCACCATGCACAATGACAGAGGTGAGTATCATTCCTTTATTCTGTGGATGCTGTGACTTTAACTTTCACACAGCTGTGGCCATGTGCTGGAGGATTTGCCCCCCCCCTTGCATGGGAGTGAATTTTCCAGTAAATGACACCCCCACCCCCCACCTGTGACCTTATGGGTTAGCCTTCACCAGTATCTACCTTGAATTCAGCCTGTGCTCACAGGTTCTGTCCTCCAGCCCAGGCTGCCCCAACCATGCATGTATGGGGCGGAATTAACCTTCAGACTCCGACTTGTTCTTCCTTCGAATCGCACCAAACTTGAGCAGTGCCCGTTCCTCCGTCCCAAAGACAGGCAGCTAAAAAATGCCCTAGATCAAGTCGGATGACCTTGCATGACTGCAACGCGACAAGCGGTGATTCTCAAGTAGCAAAGACCGGTTTAGCCATGGGGAAATACGTAATGTTTATATTATATTAACAGTATTAAATGACCCATTCTGTCCTGACCAGAAATTTGGATTGGACCAAACCCAGTTTACCCACGAGCATGTCTCTGCTTACACTGGAGATGTGGATCAATGAGTTTGTCAACACTAAAGCAGAAGCTCACTGAAAAATTTTATAATAAAACTATACGCAGGTTTGTTTGTTTGTATGAAGCTGTCGTTTGCCGCTGTCGTTTAAACCAGGATCTTGGCCTGTCTGAGACGGCTTAGTCACCTCTCAGGTTTCCTGTGGTTGGTGTGATTAATCTCCTTGGCTTTATAATCTATTTGTTCAGTAATGACCAGCATGAATGATTATTTTTTTACCTACCTGAGGGCCAGGCGAGGCTTGCCTCACTCCGCTAAAAATATCCCGGGACGGACAGTTTTCTCGTGTAGGCGTGTCCGCCTGTCCTCCAAGGTGTGGGCGACTTGCTGCATTCCTGTGGCGGTTGCGCTGTTTGTCATCAGCGTCTCCGCCTAGATACATTTTCAGGGTTGTAATTAATGGAGGGTTTCGGTGTGAAACGCGTCATGCTGGTGTCCTGTCGAGCAGGCCGGTTGCCGGTACCCTCAGCTGCTGGTTGCTAAGGGTACCCAGGGCAGGCTGCCCACATACCAGCCAGGACTTACTCCCAATGTCCCTCCCTGTGGCGCCGAGCACCAGGCCAGTCCCTACGCGGGCGGCAGCGTGTCACCTTCCTGCTAATTTGCTAAGTGAGCAAGCGTGTTGGATTTAACTGCAAGATCAAATAAAAGCAGTCAAATAAATTAAGTACAAATTGAGGATGTTGTGACGTTTCCTCTCTGCATGCAGTAGACCAAGACTATTCGATGCAGACCCTCGATTCCAAATCCAGGCCTTGTTTTCAGTTCTCCCAGGTAGTTAGTGTAATAATTACTGATTCTGATTGGCCAGAGGCTTCACACCTGGCTCACAGGTGAAGGAAGGCTGGAAAATCGGCAGGGCTCGGCCCTTGAGGACCGTGAGTTGAATAGCCCTGCAGTGGACTGTTCATGTCGGCAGTTTTAAAGCAGCTATGATGATATTTACAGAAATCCCTGCATGAAGCGAACTGTTAAATGTGATGATTACTTAGTTACTTCTCCTACACTGTTGTGGTGTACGCGTCCTGTGACAGTCCCCTTTTCCCATTTGTCCCTGTCCCCATCTGCCCTTATTTTCCCTCCAACACATTCCATGCTTGTATCTCCCCTAACTTCCCTGAACGGGGATGTTTGTCTGGCGGCGCCGCGCCATAAGCTGCCTCGCTCTGTGGTTAGGGTCCACGCACGCATGCAGCTGTCACCGAGGCTGCGGGACACCGGGGGTTGCCTGTCGGCGGGACGGCCGGAGCAGATGGCACAACTGCCGGGGAGGGGGGGGGGGGAGGTGGCACGAGCCGGCGGCCGAGCGCAAACACCTGCTCGCACTCACAGCGTCACGCGTGGCATTACGGACACGCGTCTGCTTGCACACACGAACCACGGATGCCATTCATAGCGAGCGGATAAATCCCCTCATAAGCTGCTTTACCCCACGATGGTTCCTTGATCTGTCTCACGATGGATTCCAATCGGTGAGTCCTGGAGCTTCGGAGTAGTATGATCTGCACGGCCGGCCGCCCCCCCCCCAGTCGCAAGCCTCCGAGTCCAGCCGTCTTGGCGTTCGTGCACCGGTCATCGCTGCCTGCTTTGCACCCAGCATGGAGGGTTACATCAAGAGCCTGAGAAATTGATTGCAATGGATGGATTGGGGGTGTCACTAAACAGGCCGGTCTGGTGCTGATTTTTCATTATTAGGTGCAGAGGTATAATATAGCAGTTTTACTTGCTTAAAATCATCATGTCCAGGGTTGGGAGTCTGTCACCAATCGTTGGTCTTTGGTTCTATGTCAGTACATTGAATTCTGTTGCAATGTTTATGATACAATTTCCTCCATGGTAAAAATAGCCCCTTAATGTACTGTATTTCCTAGCAGTAGTGGAAGGAGAAAAAGAGATCATATTTTTCACCTGTCTGAACACTGCTGCACGCTCTACTTTTCTAGACAGCCTTTAGTTATTTCTCCTCACGGGGCTTTAATCAGCCGTAGGGTGTACAGAAGAAAGCACATGCACCGTGCATGCGATGGCCATGAGTCTGAGCGTGTGACCCTGGGCACAGCGCCTCCTACTGATCTGCAGGCTGCTCTGTCTCAGGTCCAGGTTCCAGTTCAGAAATTCCGAGTTAATTTTAGTGCCCATTTTTGTTTAAGCAAAGAATATAAATATAAACTGATGTAATTTGTTTGTCATTTGATGATTTAACTCCATTATCTTAAAAATCATTCAGAATAATATGCTATTATCACAAAATGATCCTGGTTATGCTGTAATCGATAGCTCTCAGTGTGGACTAGGTAGCTGACTACCCCAACAGACGAAAATACAGCTTTGTTTTGTTTTTGTCGTTGTGGCCGAGTCGGGATTCGGCGTTTGGCGCCACAACCCAGAACATGGTATCTGTGTGAGGAAACACCTGCTTGTAGGATGGGAGAAGACGCACAGGAGCTGTGGAACATTCCAGAACCTGAGAAACACCTCTCCAGGCAGCCCACAGCAGATGTCTTTTTCCACGGCCGCGGACTCTGGCTCGTCTTGGGACATCCCCAGCCGTTTCCTCCATAGACTTTCCCCAGCGAGCTGAGAGATATAATCCCCAAAGTGTCCTGGGTCTCCTCCCGCGGCCACTGGCCAGTGGGACGTTCCTGGAAACACTCCCTCCCGTTTGGGCAGCAGGCATGAATGTAGCATCTAAAGCAGCTCATTTCTATATATGGGCCAAATATGTGAAGCGGAAGCTGCAGGTGGCATGACGAAGAAGGTATGAGCAGATGGAGGAAAGGTGCATCTATATATTCTGCAGCCAAATCTATAAATGTATATAGAGATCTGATTATTCAGCACAGGACCTGGAGGCTGTCTTAGGTCAGAACTCGTACCCTGCTAGGTCCTGCAGTCAGCATGGAGCTCGTATCCAGGTCCATGATACAAACAGAAGGTGCAGCCATTGATGGTGACTCAATGAGTCAAGACAAATTTCTTGTTTCAGTGGAGACTATAGCCTTTGAAGCTGTCCCATTTGTTTTGTGTGCATCTGTGTTTATGGGAATGTGTCAGAGAGAGTCGGACAGACGCAAGTGTCCTGAAAGCTATAGAGCACGTGAAAGTCACGCCTCGTCTGTGACGCTCCTTTGGTACCTCAGCCAGGTGGAGATATGGCTCCATTTTACCTGGAAGTGACAAGAAGCTCTTCTGAGGGATTCATCTGTCTTTGTCCATCAGTTTTGTGACTGACGTAAGGCTTGTGTTCCTTCCTCACTGCGTATCGCGTATCTGACTCCATTTTTACACCTTTGGTCTCACTGATAAAATTCCAGACTTTTCAGTGCAAGTTAAGGATGCAGTTGAATAGATCAGGGAAACAATGGAGTAGATTCGAAGCCACACGGTGACATTTCACTTTCCTTTGTTCTTTTATGGACGCCCTGTGTAGAGTCTGATTTGTTTGTTTGAATCCTCCCGTCAGCCACAGCCAAGGAGATGACCTTCCAGCCCTCCCAGCTGAAATTTCCTCATTCATGCTTAGGGTGACTTGAGTTGCCAGAGTAACGCCTTGGCGTCATGGAAACTTTTTTTTTGTGGGATGTTGTGGGACACCCAAGCTATTAGTACTACCATAAAAAAGTTCATTTACTAGGGCTGCAATGACATATATTATTTTAGGGCAGTACAATGTATTGTGCTACTGCGCAATAATCATGTCGCATTTGTGAGCACTGCTTTGTGTCTGTTGACACAACTTGCAACAACACTGCCAACTTAATAACAAATCATATTCAGCGTAACTTAGTTTATTTGATTTCATCTCCATTTTTGTTTTATGAATATAGTAATGCTACTAGGGGAAATTTCCCATATCGGAATATGGCATCACGATGTGATATCATGCAGTCCTATTATTAACACGTGATATTTGGAATAAAAATGCCCTACGATTATTTTAAGTGGAATTATTGGTGGTTTGTAAGCCCGTTCTGTAGACTAGATTATTACTGTGGGTCCTGTTTTTTCCCCCCTTTAACCATCAATGTGATGCATTGTGGGTAAAATCTGTGGCTCACACTCTGGATGTCCAGTATGTGTGGCTCCCTATAAGCCTGGAGGTTGGGTTGTTTTTCCTCACTGCACTGTGGTGGATAACGGCTTCACTGCAAATACAGTCCCGCTGTTTCTTATCTTCCTTTGGGGGGGGGTTGCTGGACCGCCTGGTGCACTGGGCGCAGCAGAGCGGTTCTGCCAAGCGGGCCTCACAGGCCAGGGGGGAAGGGCGGGAGGATGAAGGAGAGCCCTTTGAGGAGTCGCGCGGCACAGGTGATAAGATCGTGGCACGCCTGTCGAGACGCCTGGGCACCTTGGCGTACGTCGTCTAAACCGTTTATTCCTGAGAAGCAGCTTGGCATTGGGGTAGAAGGTAGGAGAAGAAAAATCTCTCTTCGCTGG